AGCAGGACTGGACAGCAGTGTCGGCCCCGGAGGCCGTTGGCCAGTGTGAGCAGAGCTCTGTCCTAGGGCTGCTCACAGCTCAGCCAGGAAAGCTGTCAAGGTGTCCCGCTGCGTTGGGGGACGTGGGTCAGGACCCACGCAGGCAGATGATTTGACCACACTCTCCAGCTGGTCTTGGAGCCTTCTTTCAGGGACAGTGGTGAGAGCTCTGGCTCTGGGATTCATTGAGTGGCCAGGAGGCAAGGTTGCTGGCCTCTCTCGTCCCTTCTTTCCTCTCTGGAATATTTGTAATTGGGCCCCTGTCTCCCGCTGCAGGTCAGAGTGGGAGCCTTCCAGTTCAGTTCCACTCCTCACCTGGAATTCCCCTTGGATCCATTTTCAACTCAACAGGAAGTGAAGGCAAAAATCAAGAGGATGGTTTTCAAGTACGTATGATCAGGTGCTGCCCTGGTTGGGGGGATGAAACCGGCTACTCTTAAATCCTTCCCTTGAAGGGCTTGGCCCTGCTCTTGGCCTCACTGAGAGCACGGTGGGGGGCGGGGGCATTACCCCAGCTGCGAGTAGCGTGTAATGAAAATTCCCTCCTCAAAATTCCCTTTAATTACATAAAAAAGTGTCCCAGGTGGTGATTTAAACACCAGTTTAAAAAATATTTGCTGCTATTATGTGTAATTGTCTGCTGCATGGAAAAGGGCTTTTGAAGTTGCAGACTGGGAACTGCCATGTCATACCTACAAGGATGGCTAAAATACAACAGATAATAACAAGGGTCGACAAAGATGTGGACAGAGAGAACCCTCCTACCTTGGTGATAGGATTTTAAGGCCAGGTTGTCACTTTAAAAACAGTTTGGCAGTCCCTCAGAATGTTAAATATAGAGTTATCATATGACCTAGCAATTCCACTTCAAGAGGATTGAAAAATATATGCCTCCACAAAAACATGCACACTGATGTTCAGAGCAACAGGGTAATCGCTCATGTGCAGTTAACATCTGGATAAGCAAACTACGGTACATCCGTACAATCAATCTTATTCAGCCATAAAAATGAATAAAATACTGACTCATGCTACATCATGGATAAATCTCAAAAGTGTGTTACTGAAAGAAGCCAGACACAGAAGATCACACATTGTATGATTCCTATTTTTTCCCCCAGTGCTGCAGATAGAACTCGGCACCTTGCATGTGCTAGGCAAGCGTTTTACCACTGAGCTACACCACCAAGCCCTAGATTCCATTTTTATGAAATGTCTAGAACAGGCAAATATATATGGAGGTAGAAAGTAGATTTGTTTTCTGCCAGAGCTGGAGGATTGAGGAATGACTACTAATGGGTATAGCGCTTCTTTTTAGGCTGAAGAAAATATTTTGGACTTTGTGATGATGCTAGAACAACTCTGTGAACACACTAAAAAGTCACTGATGTGTGTATTGTAAAAGGATGAATTTTATGGTCAGTGAAGTATGTTAATAAGCTTGTCATAAAAACACTTTGTACCTATTATACGCACACTACATGTAATGTGCATTTGCAAGGGGAAAAAAAAGCCTAATTGTTTAAATTTAGGACTGAAAGTCAAAGACCATTTGGATGACTTTGTTTCAAATGATTCATCTGAAAAACCAAGTGAATTTCAAAGAATTGGTACAAAAGGTGCACTAGAGATCATCTAGAATGTCTTTCAACTCCCTGTTTTACACAGGTGGATGCTGGCCCCACCCAGCTGTCCTCCCCAACTCCAAATTAGTTGGGCCTCATTTCAGTTGTATTGAGAGTCATAACTTAGAGCTGAGAGTATTATTCATGCCATGAGACCTGGAGTCACACTAAGAATGTGCCAGATGAAGGTGCTTGGGAGGAGGACGAAGCCTCTTCTGTATCTGAGCAAAAGCGGCTCTTTTTTTTGGGAATGTGCACATCAGCACTGAAGTAGCCTAACACAACTGTAAGAGGCCACAAACGGGGAGGGAGGCAGTGACTCATTTTTGGCCATGGTTGTGGGGTCACTGAGGACACAGAAAAGGAAGATGTTCAGGAACGCTGGCTGCTGAGGGATGGCCTCCCCACAGCTCCGTACCCTTTATCTGCTGGGGAATTTTAAATGCTGCGCTGATCAAATGGCTCTATCTAACCCCAAGACCCACTTGTCTTTCCAGACCAAGGCAAGACCCTAAAAGTGTGTTTGACAGCTACCTTATTACTGTTAGCAAGAAGTTATTAGTCAAGCCTCCCAATGTGGCGCCCTATGATGACCCATCAGATAAAACGCTGCGACTGGTTCTTGAGAGTCAGAATTCCTGGCCGGTTGGCCAGTGCAGGATGCTCTGCTCATTTCACTATTCTCAAGAACACAACCTGGGTTTTCTGTGACCCAGCGGCTTCTCCGCCCTCTATAGCTTTGTCAGGACTCTGTGACAATCACCACTTTACCTTCGCATGAAATCTCTTAGAGCTTTCTTGAGGCATTTAACATTTAAGCATAGCTTTTAGAATAGTTAGAATTATGGCGCATTTTTACTTGATATTATTTGATGTGTACTTCTGCTTGACACTGTATTATTTTTCATGTCGATCCTTTTTAATGATTATCTAATAATCCAAAGAATTCAGCTACCACAATGTAATTAATCATTTCTCCTTCCTCAAAAGGAAATATTTAGGTTGGTTCTAGGATTTTTGTTTGCTTAAAAACCAAGATGTAACCAACTTCCCTGTACTGACTGAGTTTTCTTCTGGAGTTGTTTCTCTGTCTATTCCACGGCTGGCTCGATTGTGTCAGAATCACTTGGGACTGAGCAGAATTGGTTGAAATATAGATTCTGGGGCCTGGTGATACTCCTACCAATTTGAACTCCCTGGGAAGCGCATGCAAGAATCTATGGTGTTAAATCTCCTGGGGGATTTCATGCAGGCTAGAATTGGAGACTAAACTCCAAAGATAAGCTGCTTATGGTGGGCTGCTGGTGGTTCATGAAGATATTTGCTACTGACGGAGCACTCGAGAGCCTAGGAGATGCCGACACAGCATTTGATTCTCGGGCAGCACCATGCCTTTCCCTACCCTAATATGGAGAGAAACTGAAAACTTTTCCAAGTTGACCAGGCTAAGCTATCACAGTAGTGATCTTTCAACCCCTGGACCCATGAGCCCCTGTTCCTAATCACTTGGTTATGCTGATAAAATTCAGATTCCATTGCCCCCCCCTTCAATAAAACCCCCCAAAAGTCCATGCATGACAAACACATAGGCCCCCCCACCCCCCGTGAGTCTCCAGCTTACCACCCATGTTGGTCCCATTTGAGACAAATTAGGCACATCTTGGTGCACTGGCCTCAGACCTCCCTATCTGGAACCAGCTCTTGAACTCAATTTGGAGATAGAAATGCTTCATGGAGTCAGAAGTGGGATCTTTGGTTTCCCAGAGGTCAGAGCCTTTGGGACTCTCACCTGACCTTGGCTGGAAGCCAGCAGACAGTGCTCCCGAGGGAGAGGCCCAGTGGGGTGAGAAGAGGAGAAGGTGCAGAGCATGAAGGGTGGGCACCCTCAGGCCATGCAGCAGGCGACCTGGGCTCTTGTCCTCGGAATTTAACTTTTCTCTAATCATAGGCTAGTCTCTGTGAACAGGGAGGCCCAGTCCCACTCAAAAAATTTGGACAGCAAGAGTCCCATGCCTGAGGGATGCAGTGAATTTCACGTGTACCTTTCCCTCTTAAAAAAAAAAAAAAAATCTGGGTTTAATCCAATGCTTCCCCTGCCCGTGGTGAATGAACAGGAAGGAGTCAAGGGCAGGTCTGTATGAAATACAAGAACAGGATCATAGAGAACAAGTGCTGTTTTTTTTTTTTTTTTTGATTCTAAACTTTTGAACTTAAAAAGAGCAGTGATGATCAGAGGGGTCCAGGGGACAGGAGATATCCTGGGGTGGAGTCCTGCAGGGTCCCAGGCCACCCACCTCAGCTTCTGGGGAGACGAGAGTTTTGTGAACATATAAACAGAAGAGTATAGAACAGGAGTAGGTAAATCTTTTCAGAAAAGGCTCATGTAGTAAGCAATTTTAAACATTCGCAGGCCACATCGTTTCTGCACAGATCTACATAGATGATTGGAGTGGCCGTTTTCTAATAAAACGATCTACAGAATGGGCAGTCTACTAGATTTGGCTTTTAAACTCTAATTTGCTGACCTCTGGAGAGGAAAGGGCATTGGCTTCAGAATCAGCCCAGCTGGGTTTAAACTTGAATTCTGACCTCCACTGGCTGGGTAAGAGGCAGGCGGCTTGATGAGCCAAGTAACCGGTTGGTTAAGAACTGAGGTCTTGGAAGCAGAGGGCCCAGGATCTAAGTCCTGTCTGCACCAGTCATGAGCTGCATGGTCATCACCATCTGTGTGGTGATGTGGGAGGTGCTCGGTAAATATCAGCAGTTATTACTGGTTTTCTCTGAGCAGGGTTCCTTCTCTGTCACACGAGCATATTGGCACATTTTGCCATACTTGCAAGGGTTATATTCAGGAACAGGTGTGTGCAGGGCCTGGCACACAGTGGAAGCTCAATGCTAATATCTCTTGAACATGGGAGGCAATCTGCCCTCCCAGGAGTTCCAGAGGAAGATTCTACAGATACAGAGCTTTGGCAAAGGAGAAGTATCATGAGAATCAGAATCCACTTGGTCATCATTGGTGTCTAATGTGTGATCTAGCACAGGGTAGTTGTTGGTGGCATTTAGGATCCACCAACATTAGTGTTCTAGTTCTAGTCCTCCATGACAAGCCTGACGCCAAAACCCTGCTGTATTCACTAACTCCCGAACACGGTTGGTGTTGCTCACCCCTGTCTTTGCTTACGCCCCTTCCCCTGATAGGAAAGGCCACCTGCCCTCCCCTCCTGGTTTACCAAGGCCCCGTGTGGACCATCCTTCCCCTCTGAAGCCTATTTCTGCTGCACCCCACAGTGATTCCCTTTGTGACTGTGGTTCAGGGTTGCATGCTCGCGTCGGTCTCTCCTCACCCGGATACTGGGAGTTCACTGAGCGGTGGGACCAGGTTAAGCACCGCTGGGTTTCCATTTCGCTGTCTTCCCTCTAGCAGTTCACAGTAAATACAAGTGGGCTGAGAAAAGGAGTTTTGTAAATTGATGGGAGTTGCTGCTACGTATTGTCGGTTGAAGTGTTAATTCTAGGAGCTGTCCATTCTTCTTGACATTTATTAACTTAGAGCTCCACAAAGAGAATTGCCTTTTAAGAGCTGGCAGAAGACAGAAAGCGATAAAAGTAGAGAATATTCTGGGTGTGCTCCGTAAATCCTTCCCAGACACCATTTTCATTCTCTTTCCACATCTCTCTGCTGAGTAGAGGACTTTGAGGACTGAGAGGAAGGTGGATCCACAACATTGAAAGGAGCCTGGATTCCTGTGTAGCTGCTTGGAGGGGAGCCAGCCAGGAGAGATACCCGGGCAGAGAGGCCTGCAGCAGATTTGCATGGGCAATAGCCACTTTTAGTGTTAAGTTGGAGCAGCTCAGCACACGGACACATAATTCCAGGCCTGCATTTCATGTCAATTGGACGCCTTCACGTTGGGAGAATGACTCTAGGCTCTGAAGAGGGCCCAGTTAAGATAGGCATTGTCTGTGCCAATAGAGCACAATCCGAGTATAAAATGTGTGTGCCCCACCCCGCTCTGAGTCAGCATTTGAGTGATATCCAGCTGGTGTTTTCCTCTTAATCACTGTAGTGACACTTGCTCGTGCTCATGTTTGGACATGCAACCACCCATTAAAAGATTTGGCTACGGTGGGACAAATCAGTGACCTAAAATCTGCTTGAGTGAGTTCCTGTTTTCTGACCAGCTGACTCTCAAAACCGGCAGCCAAAGAGGCACCTTCAAGAGCCTCCTGGTTCAAGATTCGGCAGAAATCCTGCTGAGGTTCCAAGACCAGTCCACAGTCCCCACAATGGGGCTGTGAGAAGGAGACAAATCCTGCAAACCTTGCCAAATGGAGGAGCGCTGGCCCTGTCCCACGGCGGCCTGATCTTCAGGTGTTCAGCCAGCTCTGCCTTCCTGCCACCAACCCCACACCTGGACAGGGCCCACGAAGTCCTGAATCATGGAAAAAAAAAAAATCTCACCAGAGTCTTGCACCGAGCCCCGTCCATCACTCCTACAGATTCTTAATACAACTTGCCCCAGCTAAGTTATTTTCCTGGTCCCAGAAGATGCTGAGCCATGTCAAGAAGGGGCTGATGTGGAGAGGGAGTTGTGGGGGTACATTACGGACTAAAGATGAGAATCGGTAGCCTGGAGTCATGACTGGGGGTGGGGAGAAAACAAAATCCCTGGACTTATAAGGGAGGACATCAGCCTCCACCATGGTTATGGTTTTGAGGGTGGCACTGTCACTTGGAGCCTCTGCTAGAAGTCAGCGGCCGTTCCCTGATGACAGGAGCCATCGATCGTCTGCTATCTCTCCCACTTGCCTCCTGTCCTGCTGACTTTTCTTCTCTCTCTTTCCTTCTCGGTGCCCTCAGAGGGGGACGCACAGAGACGGGCCTTGCTCTGAAGTACCTTCTGGACAGAGGGTTCCCTGGGGGTAGAAATGGCTCTGTGCCCCAGCTCCTCGTTGTCATCACTGATGGGAAGTCCCAGGGGCACGTGGCACTGCCCACCAAGCAGCTGAAGGAGAGGGGCATCACTGTGTTTGCCGTGGGGGTCCGGTTTCCCAGGTAAGGGCCTCGGGGGTCCTGGCTCTGTCCTCAGTGGACAGCCAGGGGACCACCACAAGGCCGAAAGCCTTCCTAGTTGTGGCGGGAGAGCTGGGAAAACCGTGTTCCTCGCTGGGGTTTGTCTTTTCCTCGCTTAGCTGTTTTGGGCTCCAGGGTACAGGGTGTCCCAACCTTTGGAAGCCTGAGAAGGTGCGTTATCTCCAGTTTCGTCTAAACAAAACTGGTTGCATAGGACAGAAACTCAACTTAAGCTTCTTTGGGCAGAAATGGAAATTTGTGGTGTCATCTCGCTTCTCTGGGTAGGTAGGCGGGAGCCAGGGGCTTCAGTGTCATTAAGACTCTCTGTGTCCCTCAAGAGTCTCTGCTCTCCTCTCTGCCTGGTGGGCTCTCCTCTCTGCCTGGTGGGCTCTCCTCTCTGCCTGGTGGGCTCTCCTCTCTGCCTGGTGGGCTCTCCTCTCTGCCTAGTGGGCTCTCCTCTCTGCCTGGTTCTCAGGAAGCTGGCACTGGGGCTGTGGGTAGTGCTGCAGCTCATGCCTTAACAGGCAGCCCACCCTGGAGAGGGGCCCCTGGGCCAGTTTCAGATAATCCAATTCCGGTTGGCCTGAGTCACAGCATACTCCTGGTACCAGGGGAGTAGGGGGCTGTGGCTGGCTGCCCCCTCCACAGTCGCATCTGTTCAAATGCTGGACCAACCCTTCTGTGTGCCGGGCGCTGAGCTGGGCACTGAGAGAAAGGTCTGCTTCACATGAACTCAGACAGGAGGGGGAGTTCCACATTAGTGACTTCTGAGATAAATGAAGTTTTTGCCCTAATGCCAAAGCCTGGTGCACTGTGATGGATTTGCAATGCTAGGGTTCTTCTCTCTGCATTGCTCACCTGTCATCCCATAAAGAGGCTGCTCGGTGTCATGTCCTTTCTTCAGGTCCGGGTATCATTGTTCCACTTGTCTTTTTTGTCATGGGCTCTGACGATGATGCCGTCGAACATTGGGGCTGCTTCCCCTGGACGGCCCCGCATTGCCGGGGTTCCCGTGTCCACCAGTTAGAATACATCCGTGTTTCCCGTCACTAGCTGTGCTGGTTTGCTTTTCCCATGCCATTACTTCAAACCACTTTCCTCCGTGTGCTTTCTGATTGCTTTTATTCTAGCTATGGTTTTGCAAATTAGACAACTGAACCTGTCAGGACCGTGCCTCAAATAAGAGCCAATGGTTCTGAGGGTGAGGAGATCCCTGGATTTTAACAGTGCACAGGGTGACCCCTGGCTGGGCTTCCCGTGGCTCACTTCTCAGTCCTCGCCCATATCCGAGATGGATGAGGTTGCTGCAGAGAGGCCTCTGGGTAGTGGGGTGCTGTCCACAAAGAGCCCGAGGTCCAAGAGATGGGTGGGCAGTAGGAGGGTGGGTGTGGAATCACGTGCTGCCGGGACTTCTGGGCACAGGTGGGAAGAGCTGCACACTCTGGCCAGCGAGCCCACGGAGCAGCATGTGCTGTTGGCTGAGCAAGTGGAGGACGCCACCAACGGCCTCCTCAGCACCCTCAGCAGCTCCGCGCTCTGCAGCCCTGCTGATCCAGGTAGGACGGCCCAGCCTGCGGTGAGTGGCATTGCCCGTGTGGAGCAGGGTGTGGGGTGGGGCAGTGTTCCTGAGGGCAAGGAGAACAGCCCGCCTCTGTCCTGGACTCTGACCCCTGTCTGGGTTTCTCAGCTGGAGCTCTGAGCTGGGCTCTGGGGGTGGGGGTAGGCATGGGGGATGAGGGGCCCAGAGTTTGGCGTCCAGACTTGGTAGGGCTCCTGCTGCTCTGGTGAAGGAGCCACATCTGCTCCCCTGCCATGGTCAGCACAGAGGGGCTCTGGAAGCTTGGGACTAGGCGTCCTCATCAGTGTCTATTCCTGAGCTAGAGTGACTCTCATTAGGTGGAAGGTACACAGCTGCACAGTCTGGAGCAGCCAAGTGGGGCAGGCCATGCACAGGAGATGCTCAGAGACTGGCCCCTGGCCCTGGTTCTCTGCCCTGAGAGAGGCCAGAAGTGCCAGGTCCAGAGGCAGGGTGGGACCCTGGGGACAACCCTCTGGGGAGCAGGGGTGAGGTGGGGACATCACCCTGTCTCGCTGTGTCTTCTCTGCCATGTGCCGTGGACACAGACTGCAGAGTTGAGGCTCATCCCTGTGAGCGCAAGACACTGGAGACCGTCCAGGAGCTCACTGATGGTGCCCTGTGCTGGAGAGGGTCGCGGCAGGCTGACGCTGTGCTGGCCGTGCGGTGTCCTTTCTACAGGTTTGTCCATGTGGTCTGGGGGCGGAGACATGACAGGACCTGGGTGGGAGTGGAAGCCCCCAGTGCCGAGGCCTCCTGAGCTGCAGGGAAAGCTGCACTCGGAGACCTGGCGCTTGGAGATACAGAGCATGTGACGGGGGATGAAGGGGGAGCCAGGAGGAGCACTGGGGAACAAGGAGGGCCTAGCTCCCAGCGTCCGTCTGTCAGTCTCACGAACACAGCCCAGGCTGCCTCAGGTGGTTGGGGGTAGGGTTGCAATTAGAAATAGAGTCACCTGGGAGGGCCTTGCAGGGCACATGGCATTGCATCCAGACCTAAGGGAGGTGGGGACAAGCCTTGTACTGATGGCTGTCGACAGCCAAGTCCCTGTCAGCAGTTTCTGCCCCAACAAAAGCTGGGGGATGGGTGGGGCCCACAGAGTGTGCTGGGCCGGGATTTGCGTGTTGTGGTCACCAGGAGGAGACCTGGAGGGAGGAAGGTTTCTCTTTCATGAGCTCGCAGCTCGGCACACGTTTCATTCGAGCCACCCCCGAGTTCTTACTTGACACTTGGCTTTTATCCCACTTGACCTCAGGATAGGCCCTGCCCAGGGGGTCAGCCCTCTCAGCCTGCCTCTGGATGGGCAGCCCTGGACAGGATCCTCTCGGACGAAGCCCTGTTGGAGAACTTTAGATAACTTTTTGCCAAGTCCCAAGAGCCTCCTTAGGTGAGGCTGGAGCTGGTGCTGCCTCCAACACAGAGGGGGAGGGGCTGAGGCTCTGCTCTTGCTGCAGCAGGGTCCATGGCCACAGAGACCCTGGAGGGCTGGGCAAGTCCCAGTGGGCAGCGTGTGGGCTGTGGAGTCGGATGGTCCCAGTTGGGGTTTCAGCCCTGGTGTGGCCAGTAACCATGGGACTTCGGTCAGCCTCGTTCAGCCCTCTCCACCCATTTCCCCACCTACGAGATGCAGATCCCCATCGCTTCAGGTAGCTGTGGATTCAGAGTAGCCATGGGGACGCCTGACTTGCGGAAGCCACCTCAGCACGGTGGCTTTTGTGTGATCCCAGGAGGCCGGTAATCGAGCATCCTCATGTCAAGGAGCCAGGTGGCCTGCAAATCCTTCTGAACTCTGGGGACTTCCTGGGGACAGTGTGTTCAGATCAGATACAAGGAAGGGCTGGGGCACTCGGGGGAGGCCTGGCATCTTGGCCACTCAGTCCCCTTCCCTCATCCTCAAAGCTCCAAGGAAAGCAACTGAAAACTACAGATAGTCTTACTGTCCAGCAGAGGGCACTGAACCAGAGAAGGATACTAACACCCCTGGGTCACACAGCCTGACCGTGGTGGCCCAGGTCTCAGTACTCCCCTCACTCCTCGCATTGTGGGTAGTTTGAAATCTTCCCTCCTCTCTGTGATGGTAAAGTGAGGGTAGAGTCCAGAAAGAAAATAAGCAAGTCCTCCTCGACCCACTTCTGCCTTGGAATCTCATATCAGCTGTCATGTTATAAATAGTCATCCTTAAAACCTTTGATCTCTCCATCTCTGTTTCCTTGGGTTGTAGCTGGAAGAAAGTGCTCCTCACGCACCCTGCCACCTGCTACAGGACAACCTGCCCAGGTAGGGTCTGCCCCCCTGGATTCTCTGGCTCCTTCTGGGCCTTGGGTCCAAATTGGTTTGAAAAAGGGGTGTTGACAGTGCTGGGGCAGAGGGTGGAGTTGGAATGGGCCCTGGGGCAGGGGACAGGGCTGCAGCAGGGCAAGAGCCTCCTCCCGAGGTGGAGGCCCGTGCTTGTTGTGGTCTTTCTTCATCTGCTCCTGGTGATTTTGCGCTGATAATGGAACGACAACTTTGGAATTAGACCCCCTTATCCTCACTCAGCTCCTTGGTGAGAGACACAGGCAGGCTTCTCTTGGGCACCAGCTTCCTAGACTGTTCACACCCAGTGCCAAACTCAGGGCAAGATACCCAGTCGGTTCCCTCCTCAATAAAAATGGCGTACTGTTTGCCCAGCGTCTGAGTTCCCTGTTCGCCCTCCACACGGTAGGTGGTCCCATACCCAGGGACCTGTGAAGGTTCAGCAGATAATCCCCATGGATGTTCTTCCTCCCCTGCGAAATCCCACACCAACATGAGGAATTGGCAACGCCTTTGTGCACCATGGAGCATGGTTCCCGGTCCACCCTGACTGCTCCTCCCCTGGGGTCACTGACCTGGGAGCTGACATCACCCCCATGTGTGTGGTTGCCCATCCCTGTGTGAGCTTGCTCGTCCTGATGGGGCAGGAGCCCGTCTCTGGAGACACAGCCAGTGGTTCACGCACAGACGGGCGGCCTTCCAGGAATCGGGTGATCCCAGGCCTCCCTTTCAGATCACTGGCCTCTGGGGACAAGCGGGGCACCGAGAATGCTGCTGCTCAGAAGTTAGAGTTGGAGGATTTATGGTTTGGGAACCAGGGCAACTGGGTCTGAGTCCCCACTCTGCCCCTTGCCAGCCATCTGACCTTCCACCCGTGACTGCCACTCACTGAGCTGCAGCTTCTGCATCTGCAAAGTGGCAGGTTTTGCAGTTCCTACCTCCCAGGGCTCTAGCAGTGAGATGGGGCCGTGTGCGTGTGGCAGTTGGCATGGTACCGGGCCCACAGCGGATGCTCAACTGGAGGCCTCTGTTGCTGCAGTTCGTGAGCCCCCAGGAATTTCCCCGATGCTCCCGCTGCCAGGACAGCAGGCCCAGCAGAACTCCCAGAGTCAGCCTCAGTACTTTCTGGCTTTGGAAAGTCTGCGCTTTTATTTCCAGTGACGTGGCCACCAAGTAAAATATCAATATTTTCAAGCAAAAAGGACACAGCTCCCCAATCCCACTCACGACACACTAGCTGCTCACCAAGCCTTCTGAGTACATGAGCACAGGAATCTCCTGCTTGTTCTCATGGGGCTTTACTGCAGCTGGCAATTATTGGTGAGCACATTAATCAGGGGCTGAGGTGGTGATCCCAGGTACCAGCGGTGAGACCCTTCAGAATGGGCCTGATTTTGACTTGGGCATGCTCGCCTGTGTAAAACATCAACTCTGAGGCGTCATTCATAATTGGCACTTTGCAGCCCAAAGCAAATGCTGCGTCACCTCTCGGGGAGTGTTCGCTTTGGGCTAAGACTTTCTACAGATTCATTCATCTCATGCCTGTAGTAACCCTGTGGCGTGGGGTGCAGTCATCAACGCCCTTTCTGGATGAAGATACAGAAGTGAGAAGAGCTGAATCTAGGTGCCAGAGGAAGGGGCGGTGGCCACACTGATCACCGAGCTGCCTGACTGCAGGATGTGAAGGCTCACTGTTGCCGTGCCAGGCTGTAGGGGCCCTTAAGAACAACCACCGGCAGAACTTGAGGGCCCTTAAGCTCCCAGCATTCCCTGAGTCTTAAGACACCCCCGCTGTGCTCTGGATGTTACTTAGCTCGTCATCCTTGGCAAGCTGCATGCAGTGCGACTCACGGCTGCCCCTGGCTCCTCTAGGCCTTCTCAGCAGCTGTAGTAATCGTGGCCTGTGTTCCTGGTATCAGAGCCCATGAGCATGACCCTGGGTGGGCCTGTAATTCACACGGGGCCCTGCCAATCCCCCACTGTTTTTGTCCTTTATTAGCCCCACCCAGGCCCTCCTCCAGGTACTTGTTGGTTTGTCCCCTCTCTGCCCCAGGTGGTGTGGTTGGTTTCCTACTGGGCACTGGGGAGGAAAGGGGCTCCCGGGCCCTGCCGAACTCAGCCCCTGGCTGACCAGCACTCTTCACTTCTGGGCCAGTGTGCATGGCTCTTATCTGGTATCTCTCCGACAGGCCCTTGTGACTCCCAGCCCTGCCAGAATGGTGGTACATGCATTCCAGAAGGACTGGACAGATACCACTGCCTCTGCCCACTGGCCTTTGGAGGGGAGGCCAACTGCGGTATGTATGTGTGGGACTCGCAGGACTGACCACTGGGGAGCAGGTGGAGCCTGGGCTCCCCCTTCTCACCTCCCATCATTCTGGCTATTGAATAGAATCGGCCCTTGAATTTTCACGCCACCTACTTTCCCAGTACTCTGCCCATCTAACACCTCATGTGGTGTCTGAATAAATAAGTGCTTCATGAGTAAATCATCCTGGTGGCACAGCTCTGGCAGGACAGTGGCTCCTGGCTGATACTGGAGCATCACTGAGCCAGCCCAACTCTGTGGCCTGGTTCTGGGCAGAATCTTTTCTTCTTTTTCTGTAAAAAGAGAAACGAGGAGCCCGACCCCCCTCCCCACCTTTTTTTAAAATATATTTTTAGTTGTAGATGGACATGATACCTTTATTTTTTTAAATTTATTTTTATGTGGTGCTGAGGATCAAACCCAGTGTCACACGTTCTAGGCAAGCACTCTTCCACTGAGCCACAACCCCAGCCTCCCTTTTAAAGATGAAGACTATATAAGCTTCAGCTACAGGTGGTTGAGTTACAAGTTGATGGGATTTGCTTACCGCAGTGCTTGACACATAGTAAGGGCTTGTTAAATGTGACTTTTCAAAGTGACTTTTTAAGTGTAGTGTTAGGTTCACTGGAGACTCATATGGAAACAAATAAATGTTGGCCCCATACCTCACAACCCACTGCCAGAAGGGTTATAGGCCTAAGTGTGAAGAGGCAAAAGAGAAGCTTCTAGGAGAAAACACTCCTGTCTTCATGAGCTCAAGGCCATGATTTTCTACAGCTGTGTCTAACTCTGCAGGCACTGGTCACCTGGTGTCTCTGGCCCCTGGCAGTGTGGGGGTGTCTTGGGTGGGGCTGATCCACACCCTGCACCGACCACAGTGTGGCAGTGGGTGTCGCTGTGATTCCAGCAGCCCCCAAGCTGAGCCTGGAGTGCAGAATCGATGTCCTCTTCCTGCTGGACCGCTCTGCAGGCACCACCCTGGAGGGCTTCCTGCGGGCCAAGGCCTTTGTGAAGCGGTTCGTGCAGGCCGTGCTGAGCGAGGACTCCCGGGCCCGCGTGGGAGTGGCTGGGTACAGCAGGGAGCTGGAGGTGGCGGTGCCCATCGGGGAGTACCAGAACATTCCAGACCTGGTCAGGAGCATCGACAGCATTCCGTTCAGCGGTGGCCCCACCCTGACTGGCAGTGCCTTGCAGCAGGTGGCAGAGCGTGGCTTTGGGAGCGCCACCAGGACAGGCCAGGACCGGCCGCGCAGAGTGGTGGTCCTGCTCACTGAGTCCCACTCCCAGGACGAGGTGGCCGGCCCAGCGCATCGTGCAAGGGCCCGGGAACTGCTGCTGCTGGGTGTGGGCAGCGAGGCCGTGCGGGCAGAGCTGGAGGAGATCACTGGCAGCCCGAAGCTCGTGATGGTCTACGCAGACCCCCAGCGCCTGTTCAGCCAGATCCCTGAGCTGCAGGGGAAGCTGTGCAGCCGGCCCCTGCCAGGTAAGTTTGGGTGCCTGACTGGGGCCAGCTGGTCAGTGGGCAGGTCCTTCCTTCTGTTGGGCACCACTTAACCATTATCCTCTCTCCCTACTGAGGCTGGATCCACAGTGCTGATCATGGGGCTGGTATGTAAAGATCAGCGCTGAGGTTCCACCTTGGACAGGGCCCCCTGCTGCTTCCCTGGGAGATGGGCGGTAGGAAGCTGCAGCTGGGACCTGGATTCTCAGTCCTTGTCACTCTCCCCAGTGGCTGGGGACCACCCCCTCCTATGAAGGAAGAACAAGGATTGGCCTGCCTACTCCCACCTCTCTCCTCTCCTAAGGCAGCCAGGTTTTTTGGTTTTGTTTTCTTTTTTAAGAATGGTTGTAGATTTACAGAAAACAAACCATGACCATAGTGGAGAGTTCCCACATGGCCTGTCCCCAGTTTCCTCTTTTGTTAACACCTTACATTAGTGTGGAACATCATCATCATTAATGAGCTGATTCTTTATTACCATCCACACTGTAGTCAGAGCTCCTTTTTTTTTTTTTTTAACCCGATGTCCATCTATTCCAGAACACCAGCCAGGTCCCCAGAGGACATTCAGCAGGTCTCTTTACACTGTTCCACTGGTGCTGAGAGCTCCTGGGTCTGGTCCCTGCAGGATGGGAGAGGCTTTCTCCAGGCTCAGAGGCACCCTGTCCCACCAGCTCACCCTGACTCCTCCTGCAGTTCTAGCTGAAGTGTCACCTCCCCCGAGAAGCCCTGACCGCTCTCCTAGGCTCATCATGTTGTCCCCACTGTCCCTGCTCTTGTCCTCACTGCTCAATCCATTTGTAATTCTGTGTTCGTTTCCTTTCTGTACCCCATAGACAGCTCCCCAAAGCAGGACTCTGGGTACCGTGCATGCAGTAATGGGAGGTGCAGATGCTGTCACAGGGGTCCCAAAAGTTCAACAACTAACATGTGACAGAAGCTTTTCCCTTTTACAAACCTTTTAGAGCTGAGTGGCCTGGGCCAGTAGAGTGACTTAGCCATCTGTGGCTTCCATCTTGAGGTCCAAGGTCACTATTTCTCTGCCAGCAAGAAGGGGGAAAGGAGAGGGAGACGGCCAGCAGCTTTCACTTGCATAAGTCTGAGTTTGCAAATTTCTAACTTGAAATTGCTTGATGACTTTGGATCACACCTAGACACGTGGCCACACTTGGCTGCCAGGGAGGCTGGGAGCGTGGTCTAGTTGGGCATTCACATACCTGCCTGTGTGCTGGGGCTGCGTGGTCTGTGGCCACGAAGAGGAGGGTGGGTACTGGGTGGGCAGACAACAGACTGGCTGACCTGGACTCCATGTAGCCCAGACAGTCCCCACTGTGCTGGCCAGGTCCAGACAAGGGGGCCTGCTCTGCTTGTCCCTGCAGGCTGCCAGGCTCAGTCCCTGGACCTGGTCTTCCTGTTGGACGCCTCGGCCTCAGTGGGACCGGAGAACTTTGCTCAGATGCAGAGTTTCGTGAGGAGCTGTGCCCTCCAGTTTGACGTGAACCCTGACGTGACACAGGTTGGCCTGGTGGTGTACGGTAGCCAGGTGCAGACAGCCTTCGGGCTAGATGCCCACCTCACCCGTGCTGCCGTGCTGCGGGCCGTGAGCCAGGCCCCCTACCTGGGGGGAGTGGGCTCGGCCGGCACAGCCTTGCTACACATCCACGACAAGGTGATGACTGTCCAGAGGGGCGCCCGGCCTGGTGTCCCCAAGGCTGTAGTGATGCTCACAGGTGGGAGAGGAGCAGAAGACGCAGCTGTCCCTGTCCAGAAGCTGAGAAATAATGGCATCTCCATCTTGGTGGTGGGCGTGGGGCCTGTCCTGAGGGAGGCACTGAGGAGGCTCGCTGGTCCTCGAGACTCCCTGATGCACGTAGCAGCTTACACCAACCTGCGCTACCACCGGGACATGCTTATCGAGTGGATATGTGGAGGTGAGTGGGGAACCCTTGCCCGGCAGGGCTGCACCCAGGATGGGACCTCCCCCTGGGCCCTCACCTGCATCATTACAAGGAAAGCAGCTCCTCCCAGCTCCCGAGGGCTCGCTTTCTGTGTGCCAGCCTATGTGGTAAATCCCACACTCACGGAACCAAACTTGAGATTTTTAGTGCATTCCATTTAAACAAATGACATGTCAAGGAAACTCCCAGTGCCATAAGAACCCTCTGTTGACACTAGCCTAGGTAGTAAATGACAGGCTGGCCTGGCCCTGTTGGCACCTAGCCTAATTCCAAGCCTTCATTTTGTCAATGACCTTCTTTCCACCTTTTTATGTGTCTTGCTGGGCGTGGTGGTGCACACCTGCAACCCCAGCAGCTCAGGAGGCTGAGACAGGAGGATTATGAGTCCAAAGCCAACCTCAGCAACAGTGAAGTGCTAAGCAACTCACTGAGACCCTATCTTTAAATAAAATACAGATGTACAAATTAGGGCTGGGGATGTGGCTCAGTGGTGGAGTGCCCTTGATTTCATTCCCCAGTAACCACCCCCCCCAAAAAAAAAAGTATGTGGCAATGATAATACAGTAAAACTGTAGGAAGGCAGGGTGCAAGGTAGGGTGAAGCGCCAGCCCTGTGCCAAGTTGTTGCTTTAGGGACAATGGAGATGCTGAGGTGAGAGGGACTACTGTAGTGACCTTGTGTCTGAACTGGGCTTATGAGTAGGGATCTTTGCTTCTGACCCAGGAAGGACCTAGTGGGCATGTTCTCTCTTGCAGAAGCCAAACAGCCAGTTAACCTCTGCAAACCCAACCCATGCATGAATGACGGCTCCTGTGTCCTGCGGAACGGGAGCTACCGCTGCGAGTGCCGGAGTGGCTGGGAGGGCCCCCACTGTGAGAACCGTGAGTGGGCTCTTGCTCTGCATGCTGCACTGGGGGTGGTATTCTGAATCCTGCCCGGTCCCACAAACTCAAAGACAAGTTCTATCATTCAATCGTTTATTCATTCACCCATGAGACATGAGGAGGAGCGCCTGCATTCCAGACATTGTTCTGGGGGTCAGGAAGACAACCGTATGTAGAATAAAACTCTGCCCTCATGGAGCTTCCATTCTCGGGTGGAGACAGACAGTAAACCAGACAAATATGACATGTATGCTCGATGCAGCTACACACACTGGGGGAAAATGAGAACTAGAAGGGAGACCTCAGTTAGGAGGATGGTAATGGGGGTGGAGATGGGGGCTTGGGCCCAGAGGCAGGCAGGTGAGTAGATGTGCTGGGACCTACTGGGAGTTCTTTTCGGAGTGCTATTTGCTCAGTGATGTGGGAAGAAGAGCCATCTGCTGAGAGTGAGGACAGAGAGGTGGGGTTGGGGAGAAAGGTAGCAGATGGGAGACATACAGGAGGCTTGTCGGCATTCCAGGCCCACCTGGGGCTCCTCTCCCTGAGCTTCAAGTTAGATCCGCTGGAAATCAGAAGGCAACCCGAGTTGGAGCTGGGGGCTTTCAGCCACAGACACAGGATGACTTCCAGTGGCTGGGGAGTGGTATGCAGGGAGTCAGATGGGGTCTAGAATCTGGCATCTTCTACTTGGACAGTGGGGTTGTGGTGTAAAAGCAAGACGTGAAGGGGCTGCTGACTGGTTGAAGAGAGGACTCAGAAGCCGATGTCCTCAGAATTTACTTCCTTCCCCAGGGGTCTTGAGAGGAGATGCTCCCAAGACACGCCGCTCCCATCAAGAGCCTGCAGGAGGACAGCAGCTGCACCCCACCCAGCGGCTACAGAGACCTGGGCGTCCTGGGAGCTGAGAGGGTGCTCCCTTTGGAGTGTGTCTTCTGGGGTCCTTTGAATGTCTGCCTCCAGCTCCATGCAGTGCCCACTAGCCTCTGCCAGGGCAAAGGGTACCCTGGCCACCAACGCCACTGTTTGGAGCACTAGTCGAGCTTGACATCACTAAGGGTGATACTGCAGACTTTAGGTATGTCAGTAAATATTTACTTCTGTACCCAGTTGTACTTTGTTGAGGTATGTCATCTGCCACTTTTTCCCCGAGGAGAAATGCGTGATCCTGGAGACTACGGGAAATCTGATGGCTGTCTGGGGTTCATTTTGCCCACCACAAATGCTAGACAGGAAGTGGTGAGACGGTAATGCCCAGCAGAAGGTATTTACTAGCATATCATTTGGACCATGGAGCAATGGCACTTCCAAATGGGAAAAGTGTAGACTTTTTCACTTCCTGAAAGATCTCTTGTGTGCATTTGCTTTTAGTTTGGGGACTTATTGGTGTTTGTGACTTCTGTGTAAAGGAGACACTAGGAAAAGTCCCAGACCGGAATTTGACCAATTAATGAGCTTGGCTGGCTACAGGGGAGGGGTCAACTGTGCAAATGGCCCAGGTCTGGAGGGGCCTTGTGTGGTTAGTCTGGCTCTGGGTGACAGCTTCTTGGTGGGGCTTCCTTTTAAAAGAGTTTACGACTGAGAAGTTAATTATGGAATGTTTATTGAAAACTTCCTTTCCTCTTTTAGTGGGGCAGAGTAGAATTCTTAAAATAAATAAAGGTTAAAGAAACTTACAGGGACTTTTGCTTTTTTACATTTTTTATACCTATTTCAAGAGGTGGTGTTATTTATTTAAAAGGAATATTTGCAATTTTTTTCTGGCAAACTGAGTATTTACTCCTGCAGTACTTAGGAATCAATTCTTCCCCTTGGTCATGTTGTTTAGAGTTGAGGTTTTAGTAGAAAAATCCAGAAACTTTTATCATAGTGTTTCCTTCTTTTCTTTGTGGTGCTGGGGATGGTTTTTGTCTTTTTAATATAAATATTTTGTTTTACGTATAAAAGTACAAATTTAATTTAAATACCAATTTAAGAAATTCAGGATTTCTGACGTTTGAAAAGTGTTTAAAAGAGTTATCACCATGGTATTATTAGACATTGAAAATTAAAAGTCTGGTGTCCCAAGCACTGGGTCATTTGTATTCTAGGGACATTTTTATTGATAATCAATTTTATGTTATTACTGTTCTTCTCAGAAGGCAATACTCGGACAGGGCCACAGGCTCATCCAGGAGATGCTGATCAATTATATTAATTCATTATCTTTAATAACATAATCATTTTGTCATGTAGGTTCTTTGCCTTGTTCAAGGCTATTTGGCTACTCATCTGGATTACTTGGACTTAAATAATACACTGGACCTATACATTGAAGGTCTTTACCATTTCTTTATTTTTTTAAAGAGAATTTTTAATATTTATTTTTTAGTTTTCGGTGGACACAACATCTTTATTTTTATGTGGTGCTGAGGATCGAACCTGGCGAGTGTGCTACTGCTTGAGCCACATCCCCAGCCTTTAAGTTATTGAGAGAGAGGATCTTGCCGTATTGCCCAGGCTGGTTTCAAATTTGCGATCTACCTGCCTTGGCCTCCTGAGTACCTAGGACTATGGGTGTGTACCACCACACCTGGCTTGAATTTTCTAGTGAATGGGTCACTGGCCAGATGGACCTTTTTAATTGTCCCAATAGAACTGGCATTGCCTAGCCCTTTTCTTTCATTTCAAATTTATTTCTAGCTTTAATTATATGAATGTGTTTTATTTACATTAACTAAAGCATTGAAGATGAATCATATCTTTTTATTTTCCTGAATGATCCTGGTGCCAGCTACCCTCTGACCACTCTAGTGTCCAGGGAAATACCATCTATAAATGATAGTTTTGTCTCTTCCTTTTGAAGTTGAGTACTTTTTCTCGTCATTTCCCTTCTCCAGGCTCTCCAGAATGTTTTTAAAAGTAGCAGTAATAACACTTACTCATAACTGGTTCTTAACAAAAAGGGCGGTCACTCTTGTGCTAATTTCTGTGTGTTTCCTGTAGGTCATCTTATCAGGTGAAGGATGCTTGTTCCTAGCTCTTGATGAATGAGAATGTTCATTATGAGCATTGAGATTTATGGTATGCTTTTCCCACATGTAGTCTGTTAATGTGATAAACTATACATTTGCATACTTTCATCATTGTTCAAAAAACATTGCTGAATTTCAACGATTTTTTTTTTCCATCAACATCCAAAAGTGAGATTTGGTTTTTCTTTTGGATATGTATAACATTTTTGATGACTGTTGTGGAAAACCTGTTTCTCAGACTTTTACATGTCCATAGCACTTTCTTGTATCTGTACTTTGGCCTCTGTCAAGTCTGCTATTCTATACAGCTTTAGGGTTTTTTGTTGTTGTTTTGCGTTAATCTTTTTAATGATCGAGAATTTGGTTTTGTCCTTTTGTAAATAAACATTTATGCCGTGAACTTTTTTCATTACTATTGAGGAGTCTGTTTAACTTTATAGGCATATTGATTTTTCAATTTGCCTATAAACAGTTTCTGCAGATGTTTCCAGAGAATTTGGTACATTTCTAATTATACTATTTCTACTATTACAATCCTCTTTTAGCCTTAGCTGGTGACTTGTATAAGAGGACTTTGAAATCTTTTGCTGGGATTGTACCTTATGGTTCTATCAGTTTGTATATATTTTGAAGTTTAAATGTTTGGCCCTCAATAGTTCGTCAGGCCCTGCCCCAAGTTATTCCATGAAATACAAGGAAAACCTGAAATACAATGACCATTTTATTAAAAAACAAAAAGAACTAACTCACTTGGTTCAGGTCACCAAGTGTTTATGACATGGGAAATAAATGCCCTGGGATTAGAAAGACAATACATTTTTTTAAAAAGACTTTTAGCTCTCAGGAACCATGGTTAGAGAACTAAGGCGGGGTATAGATGAAATGTTTCAACCTGTGTTAACAATGAGATCACAGCACAAGGAAGAGCCACACTATACTAACCGAAATTCACCACTTTTTTTTCTTGCAAGGTAACTAGAAATTTAAACAGAACTTCAACACAGGAACTAACAGAGCATCATATTAAATAATTCTCCTGTTCAAAATGGCCTGACTATAGGACTGAATCTGTAAACATAGGATAATTTTTTTCTATAGTCATGTAAAAAGTCAGATCTCGAAAAACACTTTTCACTGTTCTAAACGATGGGATTTTAAACATTTCTATACAATACAGTATCACAATTTTATTTAAAGGCAGTTGATTCAGGGCTGCCTTGGACCAGAACGAAGACCCTTGGTGGGATCAGTGCCTCAGCTGGATCCCAAATATTTCTCTCAGCTACTGTTTCTTAAAATTCATACTGCAAGTGGTACTGATGCTGTTTAAAATCACTAGAGACTGAGCTGGGCCCACAATCACACTGGAGATCAAACTTGAAGGCAAGGGCGGTTTAACCCCCAACTCTGTTGGCATTGGAAATGGCGCTCAGGTCTTCTCAGTCACCAAAGCCAGGGGGACAGGGTCCTGATAACTCAATTTTTCTTCTACCCCAAAGTTTAATCACCAGAAACTTTTCACTAAAAACACTTGATAAAAAACCAGAAACAGAACATCCCTAATACAATGTCTTGTTTACAGCCAATAGACTCCAGTCTCCAAAGAAGCCTTATTTTGGATTTGCTCCCCTGTTGTTATTTGCTGGTCAGTATGAATACTTGGAGAATCACTTTTCATCAAAAAGGGACAGAGCCAACTCTTAACCAAGCTTTCCATTCACAGTACCCGAGTCCTGGCTTTTTCTTCCAAACAGACTCACCCTTTCTCAGAGTCGCTGTTTCAGTGAAGACTTTACCAAAGCAGGATTGTCGCCAAGGTCCCAATGACACAAAAGTCTTTAGATGATGTTCGTTTCCTAACTTGCTCCTTTCTTCTCCCATTCCTGGAGCACCAAATACCAGCACACACACCCCCCCCCCAAAAAAAAGAAAGTTATTATCTGTAGCAACCTTTATATACTCAGAAAAAATGTAAAAATTTAAAGCACAGAAGCAGTTACAAATAGGACGAGTATGTTTCAAACCTGTGTGCTCCTTCCTGCAAGGAGCACCTATTAAGAGATGGCCTGGCTCTGGCAGAGTGCTGCTGACCATAACAGTGAGGGAGGGGAGGTCACCTACTCCAATGGATTGAACACCCAGTGGGTGGGTGCCTCTAGCAGGACAGAAAGAGCAGTGTCCAAAGGCAACTCCAGGCATGTTCTTTATTGTACAATTGAGGTAAAGACTAATGTTACTTTGTCTAGCCCTCAGGGAGAGACCCGATCATGGGATCCATCCATCCGTTGTTGGGTGACTTGTTTATTTAATTTTAATGGTATAAGGCCTTTTGGAGGCACTGATTTTTGTGGTCTGAGCTGGCCCATATATTCCACTCATAGCCAAGTGGTGTCTATGTCCACCTGGGTCCTCCTCCAGAGGAGAAGTGTCCTTGGGGCTTACCGATAAGAACACTTGAATCAAGTGTAAGAGCCTTCTGGCTAATCAAAGGTACAGTGAAGCCAGAGTCACTGACTTTCTGTTGAGAGCTGAGCCCTCATCAGGACTGGCTCCCACCGCCACAAAGAAGAGCCACATCTTAGCAATGGTTCTGCTGGCCCTTGAGGCTGGCAGTGACTGCTTACCTTGGCTTTCTGGAGGACGGTGCCCTTGCCTGTGACCATGACAGAAAGAGGCCTGTTCTTGAGGGCGGTTGCAGAGTTGACTGGGGTGCAGTCTGGGGGAGAGGTGGAGGCGGCGGCGGCGGTAGCTTTGGGCTGTGGTTACAGGAGGAGAGCAAGAGTTGAGTTGGGCAGGAAGACATGACCCACTTCCCCTAGCCCATGTCCAAGAGGCCCAGCAAGAGCTCAGAGGAGCTGGCACTCACACGAGGGCTCATGTTGTCCAGGTGGGTAGTGTCTACAGTGGTGCCCAGTGTCACGGGCCCAGCCTCAGCCTTCTTCAGGTTGTCCTTCACCTCCATGATGTTGAGCTCTAGGTCGACACGCCTGCTCTCCTCTATCCGACACTCCTCGTCAATTTCCTTCAGCTTCTGTTCCAAGCTGGCCAGGACTCCCTTGTCTGGAGACAGAATTAAGCCGCTACAGAGAACAGCATTTCAGCTGAGGCCAGGGAGCCACGCGGAGTAGAAGGAGTTTACACACACCCCTGCTGGAGGAGGACCACCCAGGTGGACACAGACCACAGGTCCAGCTTTTCCACTCAGAGGTGGGATGGCCTGTGTGTGCAAGAACAGCCTCTAGGTCCAGATCTTGTGGAAGCATTCTACAAAGCCTGGGAAACCTTCCTTGGAAGGGTAAGTCGCTGCGAGCAGGCCCGCAGGGGTTCTGAGATCTTGCTCTTCTTGCAGCGAAAGCATGAGGCAGGCTGGGTTCTCTGGCTACCCCCCCAGTTCCCTCTATGCCCTGGGTTTTGTGCTTCCCGAGGCCTGACCTTAGCCCCTAGGGATAAAATACAGAAAAGTGGGCTAAGAAACCGCCTGCAGGAGCCCATTGCTGGAGGAAAGGATGGCACCACATGGGTCAGTGTAGTCCCAAGCATGAGTCGACAGCCACCAGGTTGTTAGCAGGCTTTGTGGTAATTGATCACCTGTGGGCCTCAGTCAGAGACAAGCAGTAAGAGGGGCCACTGTTTAGGGAAAATTCATAGAGAAAAGTTGAGAACACCTGAAGTGATATTTTTGGTGTTGACATTTAAAGATAATATAGTTGTTATTTGCTGGTCAGTATGAATACTTGGAGAGTCACTTTTCATCTGGATCTCAAGGGCTTATTTGCAAGGAGAATAAACCATAGTGAAAATTCTCTTCTCCCACCTGGACTATCCATTAAGAAGAAAGGGTGGGGAGCCCCTGCCTCACACCAGCTGGGGGCTTTCCAAGTACCGTCACAGATGACCCTGGGTCACCCACATCAGCTCATGTCCCAGCCCTCCAGTCTCAGCTGAGTCAAAAGTAAGCCCAGCCAGGAACACCTCGGCATCAGAGGGTGGCTGTTTAGAGTGACAGATGGTAGATTGGGGTAAGAAAGTGGGAGAATGACCGATACAGGCTCTGGGGTCCAAAACTTGATTGTGGTGATGGCTACAAAACTGTGAATATACTAAAAAATCATTGACTTGGTCACTTTAAATGGGTCAACTACATGACAACTATCTCAGCAAAGCCAGTATTTAAAAACTGGGTGACTGCAACCCCAAGACCTTCCTTCAGCAATCGAAAGCTTCCCAGAAAGCAGCTACATTTGTCCCCATACCTACTATGCCTATTGGGCTTGTTCATGCAACTCTGAAATTTAAATGTTAAGTGAGCACAAAGCTACTGTCAGAAATTCAAGGTTAGAGGAGGTTCTACAAGAGGGAAGTTGCTAGAAAACAGTTGTCCAGCGATAGGAGGGTGATTTGGAAGACAATCTGGAAGGCCTCAGATTTGCTTTACAAGTATCTTAAACTTTGATTCACTTCAAAGGAGTGAGTCTGGAGGTCGATGCTTTACCAGTGTGGCACAGGGCAGTCGGCTCGGCCATGGGATACCACTCTGCTGACCCACATCTCAAAACAAGGCCTTGGCAGGGCATCAAAAGATGGGCCCAGGAATGGTACATTTGTTTTTCTTAAGATTTCTACCTTAAGCTAGCCAGCTACCTGCTGGTCTGCTTGGGCTGGGTCAGGGTCCCCCTGCGGGATGGCAGCCTTTCAGATAGGGCTAGAGAGGTGACAAGGATATGCCACAGGTGAAGGGGCTCAGGCCCAGAGATCTGGAAGCCAGTGACAGATCTAGGTCCCACCACCGCAAAGCCCTTATGTCCCCTAAGCTGAGAGTCCAGCCCTGGGCCCTCCCCGCCTGGAGGCCCCTTACCCGCACACTTTAGCAGGGTCTCTTTCAGCTCCCGTTTCTCTTTCCGGAGCTGAGCCAGGTGCCCCCGGATCTCTTCCTTCTTCTTCTCGAGTCTGTCTTTCTCCTCTGTGTACCGCTTCACCTCAGCCTCTGTCCGATTCTTGCCAAGTTTGATTTCTGTGGACCCAGAAGGGGATGTTCCAAGTCAGCTGAGCTCGATTGTTAGGGCTGTCCCCAACTACTCCCCAGACGCAGAAGATCAGAGCTGGACACCAGGCCAGCCCATCAGGGGCAGGAAAGGAAACTGGGTGCACGTTTTCTTTGCTGTGCCGCTTTGGGCAAGTTACTTCACCTCTTTGAACCTATTTCCTCATCTGCAAGGGAGGGAATAGGGCTGATTTCTCTGAGCCAAGTACAAAACGCTAAGCGCTGATCTTGCATAGGTACCTGCACTGGTCACTCGCAACCTGTCCTTCACAGGTGGGCTGGCGCTAGCTGGGGTGACAGCCACAGTATCGGGGCAGTTTGGTGGGAAGGAGATTCTCTGCTGCTCGGGCTGGAATTTGACTGTGGGGATTCTCGGGGAAGGCTCCTCGGGCTCCCGGCTCTCCAGCTGCCTCTGTGTGGGGAGAAAACAGTTCATCTGGAGGATGGGCCCAGGAAGGTGGGCAGCCCTCTGCAGGGACCGGCCTGTACCTGCTGCTCTGGGTTCTCTGCAGACTTGGTGCAGGGCTCATCTGGGGCCAGGCCTGGCTCAGCAGGGAGGGCCTCAGCTGGATCATCGAAGGGTGGAGACGGGGGGAAGAAGGCCTGAGCCTGGGCTGCGCCGGAGCTGTACAGGAAGGACTTGACTGGCGTGAGGTCCAGGTACACTCGGTCAAGCTCACTCTCAGAGGGGGCATCTGCGGCAGCGGGGGCTTCCTCCGCGGGTTCCACCTGCAAAAGAGCCAGATGCCATCCAGCATGACTCCGTTCCCGAGTTGTGACGGAGCACCAGCCCAGCCTCAGAGCGCCTGTCTCCTCCAGGGGTTCCTAGACACGCCCTCCCTCCCCAAGGAGCCTCCTGTTGAGAACTGGTAGTGCCACTCCAGAGGCTGGAGGAAGACCCAGGCCCAGCGTTCACCTTCCCTGACCCTCACCTCCTCGTCTGTGCAGAGGGAACCGGCAGCGCTTCCCGTAGTGGGTGGGATTCAGTGAGATCACCCGCAGAGCCCCAGCAGAGCAAGGCTCCATGCCAGGAACTGCTGGGTAGTGACCCCACCTCAGCCCTGTGTGGGCCTTGATGGCTAATGGTGCCACCTTTCCCCTAGCACTGCCGCAGGCCAGGCCATGCATAGAACTGAGCCAGCTGCACCCGGGGTCTACACTGATGGCCTTCAGGTGACTTAGAAACCACTCATCTTGGAGACAACCTGACCACCTCCAGCATGGGGGTGCACAGGGCAGGCAGGAGGAGGACTGGAGCTGCTACCCTCCAAGCCCTTACCGTGGCCGTCAGCTCTGACATCTCCACGTCATCATAGAGCTCCTCCTGGCGGTCCTGGCTGGGCAGCCCGTCGATGTAAGTGTTGGGCTCTGAGAACTTTCTCTGCATCAGTCTGGAAGACACGGGCCAGACACAGCATGCGCTAGGCACCCAGGACAGGGGGTGGACTCGCCAGGATGCAAGGCTTTGGCTGCATGAAGATATGGGGGTGAAGGCCTGCCTCCATGTGTTGGGGGCATCTCTCTCTTCCCAGAGCTTTTGCCCTAGAACTCTTGGGTCCAGATCCGCCCCCACCAAAAAAATATTTCCCTGCCCCTCCTCCTGACACCTCTCATTTAAGAGCCTCCCCTGGCTCTGCACAATACCCCTGGGGCAGGGTACACCACACACTAGTCCTGTTTTATGCATAAGAAAATGGATTCTGCTTCAGTGGCCTGGTTGGCTTTCACCAGTCCCAGCTCTGCCTCCCTGTGAGGCATCAAGTGCTGAATTGGTGTAAAGACAAAGGACAGGAACCCACTCTGCCTAGGGAGCTGGGGAGTGTCCAGCCAGAGCCCACGGCCACCCAGAGCCCAGCTCAGCTTGCAGATCTTAGCAGGACCTCCCTGAGGGCTGCCCCTTGGCCTAGGACTTATGGACAGGACAGGGCTGAGCCCCGTGCTGTCAGTGGCTGCTCTGTTCTAGCTCTGCACCAGAGCCTGGCCCAGGGTCTAGAAGCAGGGCTGGGAGGGGGAGAGGGCATAACGGGAGGCCCTTCCGACTCACAGGAGAGAGGTTTTGGCGGCGCTCACGATACAGGAGACTCTCTCGGCGTCCACGTAGTCGTAGGTGAAGTCTTCTGGGTCTGTCTTGGAGCCTGACTCGGACAGCAGGAGGCCTAGCCAGTGGCCCATCTCCTCAGAAGACTTGGCCTGGAGGGAGGCCGAGAGACATGAGCCAGGCCCCCCCCCCAGGCCACCACACTGCCATTGCCTGATCCCGGTCCTGTCTTTCAAGTCCCTGAAACAGCCTGGCTTGGGCGTGATCTTTAACAGCATATCCCATCCCCAGGGACCCCATTTCCATCTGTGACCACCTCTGTGATGCCCTGGATATTAGTCCAAAATATCACAGGTCATTTATATGCCTGTGCTTCTATAAACAACTGTTAACAGTTATAACAATGAAGAATTGTACTGTAGGTTGACACCTCTGTGTCATGATGCTCACGTCACTGTCACTCTAATCCATACATACCAGACTGCCTGGACCTTGCTAAGGAATACTATTCAAATTTACTTTTGCTTATGACTTCAAATCAAGGCATCTTAAAGACCTAACAGCAGATCAAGTAGCTCTACTAATTACCAAAATTCCAGTGAATTTGGTGTTTCCCCTCTGGGGTATAATGCGTTCTAATCCAACACACACTTTGGGCACTTCTATTAAAATGCCAACATCGTTTCTTGCCTTTAGAATGAGAAAAATCTAGGAATTCTATAAAAGCTTCAGGTTTATCTCCATGAGGAAAACCAGCATTTGGGCTTTATACCACACACATTGAGTTTTTCTTAAATGGAGAGGCAGCTGTAAGCCCAATTGGATGGTTAGTTGGTTTCCTTCTCCCACGTATTTTCAACTGAATTTCTCAATACTGCTTTTCATGGGGGTCCCCAAGTGTAGGCTACTACCATCTTTGCCCGAGGCAACTGTAGCAGCTTCCTGGTAGGTCTCTTTTTGTCCCCTTTCTGTCCATCCCCCACCTAATAGCTGGATGAAGCATCTTAAAATCTACATCTGGACCTGCCACCTCCTTTGAGGGACAGGGATCCCACTGCTCCTAGGATCAAGCCCTGCCCACTCCCAGCCTCATCTCCAGCCAGTCCCCATCCAACCTGCCTGGTCCTTGCCTCACTTGTTTGCAGCAACTGTAACTAAGCAATTAATTGGGTAATTAGCCAAATATCCTCACATTCACAAACTGGAATATAAGTTCCATCAGGGGGCATCTGTCTCTTTTGTCTGCCACGTTATGGTTATGGTTCTGAGCAGATATTTGCTGATTGTCAAATGGGTCGACCAAGCTCATCTTTAGGAAGCTATTATGATGTGGATGTTTTAGCCACTAGAGGGCAGTGTTAGAGCAAAATTTGGAAGAAGACCTGGGATAAAAGACTAAGCCAACAGGAGTTAATGGGCAAGTGTGTGCCATCAGCTCCACCTGCGGGGCTCCCAGCAAGGCATTATGTCACCTCGTGAGTGATTGTTATAAATGTAACACCACATCAGAGGGTGGGGAATGGGAGAAATGTATCACAGAGCAAATCCTGTCCCCCAGATAAGAATGAGGACTGACAGAGCTTAAGTACCAGCCCTCCTGGTTGGTGACACAAACTAGCACCCATTTGAATCCTAGAGCCTTTCTGGCAGCTCTGGGAGTTATAAATACTCTGCCTGCTCTAAGTGCAGGAAGTAGCTCATTGCCCCACTCCTGTAACACAACCACCCTGAGGTTGGAACAGGAGTGGACATTTTTTTTTTTTTAAATGCAAACAATCACAGACAAGGGAACTAAAAATGGCCTGAGGCTAGGTGGATCCTGCCTCAGCAGGATCACAGCCCTGGAGACCTGCAGCCACCAGCTGCCCACATCCTCCTAGGGGCCAGTGGTACCTCGAGCTTGGCCAGCTCCTCCCCTCCGTGGAGGATGCGGAAGGAGTAGAGATGGTCGGGGCTGGGATCTGGGACCACCTCACAGCCCACCAGGCTGAGGGGCTGCTGGGCCACCTTGCTGCGGTTCCGGTCCTGGTAGAAGTGCAGGTGGCTGTCCCTGACAGAGCACCAGCGTGACTTCCACTGGCTGTTCACCAGAACATTCAGGTAACCTGTAGGAGACATGCAGTGGGGTGAGGCTGAGAAGCAGCTGGGGCCACACACCTGCAGGAGGGGACATGGCTGAAGGAGGGCCTCTGGGCCTCAAGACTGTCCTCTGGCATCAATTTCAGAACTGTCCATGCCTTTCATATTGCATGGAAGCTTGAGGATCTCAAGTCCCTAGTTTTCTTTCTGTGTGTAAGCAGCCAGGCCCTCAGCAGCACTCCCTCCTAAGCACAGGTCACCCAGGTCACTGTGGCAGGAAGCTTGCCCACCCCATCTCCCAGCTGCTGGCTCAACCCTGCAGCCTCTGCAGCTGCAGCTTTCTTGGTTCCCGACAGCCTTTGCATGCTGCCTCTGCAGCTGCAGCTTTCTTGGTTCCTGACAGCCTTTGCATCCCCCGGCTATTCAGACTCAGCCTGTGCAGCATTCAGCCTTCCACCAGAGCCCCTGGAACCTGGTCCAGTGAAACTCTCTGCCTCCACATCAGCCTCCCCACCTGGACACACCTGCTTCCCAAAGGCAGGAACTGCATCATGGCCTCTCTAAGGCCCAAGGTCTGTCTTATCCACCAGGGACCCCATTTCCTCTAGGCACAAAGGCTGCCAGCACCAGCACCCATCATGCCATTCTTTAGTTCTCAGAGGGTTGCTGTGTGCTGTGTTCAGCTTCCCAAGGAGAGGACAAGGCTTTTCCCACATCAGATAAGTGTTTACTGAGTTGATACTATCCACCACAAGCAGCCTTGTCCCTGCAGTGACAAGGATGCGTAAAATGCAGCCTCAGGACCCTCCTTCCACCTGTGCAGTGAGTCGATAGCTCTTTGCTCCTCACCTTCTCAGATACACTGACTTACAAAGTGCAGTTTGGTCTGGAAAGGCGGGAGCTCAGATCTTAAGCACCCGAGTCTTAGGGAGGACAGCCACTGTGTTCTCTCTGGCCTGCCCCCAAGGGACAGGAGCATAGTTGGCTGAGAGAGCAGACTTCCAGCAATGACCCAACCATCTCCCAGACAGTGACGCACAGGGATCAGGTTCCCAGGCTGCAGGGGCAGACAGACCCAGGCACTACCCATCGTCCTGGCCAGAGAAGCAGGAGACCACTCCATTTTTCTTTTTTCGGTACCAGAGATTGAACTAGGGTGCTTAACCACTGAGCCACAACCCCAAAGACAGGATCTCGCTAAGGTGCTTTAGGGCCTAAGATGCTGAGGCTGGATTTGAACTTGTGATCCTCCTGCCTCATTTTTCCTAGCTGCTGGGATTACAAGTGTGCACCACCACTCCTCCACTCCTTTCCTATTCCACCCACCATCCTGCCAGCCTCAAACCAGAAGAGAACCTAACTGGGCCTCAGAAAAGAGTCTGGGGACAGGACATCATTCCACAAGGAAGAGAAAAAGGCCCAAAGGCAGACAGTAATGGCCTTCAGGCCCCAAGGAGGGCTGCAGTTGAGAACCCCAGCTTGGGGATCAAGATCCCTTACAGCAGTGTCTTTGCCCTCTGACCTTGGTTTCCAGATCGAGGGCAATGACAATGACATCTAAGAACACACTAGCCCCTGTAATGTCCTCCGGTCCAGCCACGCGGGCTTCTCACTTTCCCTTCCTCAGCCCACCTGTTCTGAGTCTTTGCTGCTGCCCCAGGTGGTTCTAGCCTCCTCAGCTCCACCTGCCTTTAAAGCCCAAGTCCACATGCCATGTCGGACCACAGGGCAGAAGAGGTTCTCCATGTCCCTGAGTCCTGACTGCCACAAGGAAGGCCAAGTGCATGCTTAGGGGGAAAAGCCATCCTCTCTCTTAGGCTGAAGGTCTTAAGACTGAGCCTTCCACCCGCCTTCCCCGGTCCTGACACTGTGTCTGCCATGCCCCCCCTCCCCAATACACACTGATCAACTAAGCATCAGTCTTTAAAGAACACTTGGGGGACACTGATTAGTTCCCCTTTCACAAAGGATCCAACACTGCAATAAAACCGACTCCGGCTCAGCACAAGGACTACTTACAACAAAGACAAACTAAAACCAGGGGCTGTGTGCTTGCCATCCCTAGAGGTGCTTAAACCGGCCCTGGCACCCCCTGCCTTCGTGGTCTGGGCTCCAGCCCTAGGTCCTGGAGGCAGCTATGGTTCTTACTAGATGTCTCCAGGGACCTCTCTGGGGGCTCCAGCGAGGTGGATTTCTTCCTGCCCAGGTTCATTAGGTTGCTCAGTTTGAGGCCAGCAGAAGATTTCTTTTTGACTGTCGAGAGGAGAGAGAAAGCAATCAGTGTTGCACGCAGCCCACCCACATGCAAACTCATCCCCTCCAGAACCCTCTTGCTCCCTGCCTGCATGTGCGCACGCGCACACACATGTCTGCTCCCCAGAATTGGCTGTCTCCAAAGTCACACCGTCAAGGGGGTACTCAGCCTTCTCATAAGAACAGATAAGCACTTGAGACTCTTTACAGACTCTATGGCTCAAAGGGATTTGAAGTAGGGTTGGCCAACAAGAAGAGACGGAATACTCCATCCTCAGCCTTTCATGAGACTTCACTTCAATTTGGCCACCTCTCCAGTCTCCCAGGATCTATCAGATGCAGGATTTCCAATGGTTTATAAGTTGGGGGGTATGTTAGAATCAGCTGTTGAAACCCATTAGGGTTGAGTCAGACGGCCAAGTCTCATCCTGGAATAATGTCACCCTCCCCACCACGAGGCCGCCAGCCACAGCGGTGTTACCGTCTTTGGTCTCTGGGACCTCAGGGTGGCTGTCTGTGGAGCTTCCGTATTCTGGAGCAGACAGGTACTTTTCAGCTATATCTGGCTACAGGAAAGAAAAAGGGGGGAGTGTAGAGAGAGAGATGAATGGGAACCACTGGCTGGGAATGGTTACATTGAGAACTTCAATTTAAGAGAGATTAGATGCATCTTGGGTGCAGACAGGGATAATCTCCATCTACGGTTGACTAGGCGCGTGGGGACTAGCTGTAGCTGGTTGAATGTGACTCGGGAACATTCCAGTCAACCACCTATTCTAGGAAGCAAGCTGATGGCCCCAACCAACCGGCCTGACCTGAGGCAGGACCCAGGAACAATGGCACCTGGCCATGGAAACACCTCAGAGAGATCCTCAGTTCCTACCTCAACAGGAAGGACACACAAATTCACCCTGCCACAGAATGAGGGAGACCACCACTGCCCGGCCTCTCTCAAGTCCCTGTGGCCATGCTGCAGCACGTCCGTCTCCAGGGGCCTGAGAGACGCGTGGGCCCTCTGGCTTCCATTCCCTGGCAGGGACCCTCTGCACTGCCAGGCTTTAGGGTACCCACCTGCAGATACTCAGGGACCTAAGGGGTGACCCTGCAGGTGACAGCCCTCCACCCGATTTCCTTGACCTCAAGCCCAGGCTCCAGGCAAAGGCACCCTGAGCCTTCTGGAGGTAGGGGACACGTCAAGACTGCCCCTCCCAGAGGCTCCGCAGGGGAACAAGCAGGAAGGAAGAGCCTCACAGAATGAATCTCCCAGCCGAAGCGTGTAGGGCCACGTGACTTTTGCTCTCATAACACTGCCCCCGCCCTAGCAAGAAAATATTTCAGCCCTGTATCCATTTCATCCTTCTTCCTGCCAAACTAAGGTCACTGCCCTTGTCCAAGCATTGTATGTTTCTTTTAATTGAGTTGAAATACAAAGCTCCCAATTTTACACTTGAAATTCATGTGGAAGAAGGGCAGATGGCACTCACTTCCAGGCGGGCAGAGCCTTACCCGCTGACAGCACAGGCGCTGGGCATCTGGGATGTACTGGTTTCCCTCGGAGGCTCCTTCGGAAGGCAGGCCGCTCACCTCCTGGATGACCTGAGGCAAGAACACCCTCAATGAGGCCAGGGTCCTTGGAAGGCCCTTCCACCCGCACACACGGCCAGACCACGGCAGGGGCCCTCGGGGCCGGGAGAGTGGGTACAGAGAAGACCCATAGCTGAAAGGAACAGAGAAGCACTGCCCCTGCCCCGGGCCCCATGGGACTCAGTTGTGGAGGCTGCAGTGGTTGAACCTGGTGGCACAGGCCCATGGCTACAGGTCCCCCATGTCCTGGGTGTCGGTGAGGGGCCTTGCAGCAGAGCCCCAAGATGGCCAGAGCAGCCAGCCTTCAGCTCCCCGAGCCCCTTCCTGCCAGCTGCTCTGCTTTGGGTGACACGAACAGTCCCATTTGTTAGACAGTCCTCTGGCGGTGGGGGCCATGGGCTGGCTCTGGACTCTCCACGCCACTCGGGAGCAGGCCAGCCGACTGCCTTGAGCTGACCACCATTACCATCTCTCCAAACTTGCCCGCTACCATCCCTCCAGCCTCCCCTGGGAAAAAGCCTTTTCACTGCCACCCAGGGCCTGGGCTGGGGACACACAAAGGTCAGAGGTGGCTCTGACTTCACTAAACAGCAATGCACCCACCCCCCTTCTGAGCCAGGGGCCACCTCGGGGATTCCCAGAGGGGCATAGCCCAGGCTGGCACACACACACACACACACATATACACAATTGCAAAGCCCTTTGGAGGTACAGAATTAGTAAGAGCAATTTCAAGTCCCCTTCCTTTTCAATCTTTGCCTAGAGCAATTTGTGGAATGGGCTTAACATCACAAAAGCCAAAGAACACAAGGAAGAACAGTTATGGGGGAGGGAAACAAGACAATTCTCACTTTCAACACTGACTCCAGTTAGGCTCTTTGTTCCACAAAGAATATATGACACAGTTTCATAGGAAGAGGGTTGGTGCTGGGGTCGGCAGACTAGCCACATGACCTTGGGCCCAAGCCCCAGCTCTGGCATCTGTAAGATGGGGCACCTCTACAGAGTGGCTTTGGGGACTTGAGTGTCCAGTACCCAGCACAGGGCAGGCACATACATTCCTGTCTTTAATACGTCAAGTGTGATTCTGAAGAATCAGGAAGCCCAGGGACGGTGGGCAGGTTCTGCAAGTCCCAGGCAGCTTGATGGGGAGCCCTGAGGCAGGCTGAGCAGCCACTGTAGGAGGCAGGGACTTCTGGAGCCAGGCCCTGACAGCCAGGTCACCTCTGCACTCCTCTGACCTGGGAGAGAGGCCCCTCTGTGAAGGCTGGACACAGATGGGCTGTGCCTTCTGAAAGCGCTCTTGTCTTTAAAGCCACCAGCAGGGACTGTGGGGGTTGGGGTCTTAGGAGAGGGCGTGAGAGTCTGCAGCAGGAGGCTGGGGTCAGGGAAGGGAGAGATGGGTCTGGGCAGGCAGGGAACAGCACTAGGAACTGGGGACAAGGGAAATGTGTGCTCACATGCGTGTCCACATTGTGCGTGTGGGTGCACACATGTGCATGCATGTGTGTATAAATGTGTATGCGCACGTGTGCGTGCACACACCCATGCTCCTGTGCACATAGTGGGTGAGGGTGAGGATATGGAGAGCTGGCAAAAGCCATAGGGGAGACCTGGTGAGACGAGGAAGTTCAAAGGCAAACTAGCAGCTCCAAGCCCAGGCCCTAGTCAGCTCTGCAGCCCAAGATCGGCCCCTAGCACTCTCCAGGCCTCGATGGTCACCTCTGTGCTGGTCCAGTTTCACGTACTCTGCCCAGGTGCAGCACAGTAGCACTTCACATGAATTAAGGAACCAACCCAAGATCACTCAGCTCAAAAGGGAGGAAGCCAGGATTCGAGGCCAGAGCCCATGCTCTCAAATGCCAGCCTTGGCCTTTCTGAAGGGTTAACCATCTCTTAGGAACCCCACAATCTACAAGCCTGTCCATCTGGTGGCCCTTCTTATCCTGTATGACCGCCTTTAACCACCTGGACATTTTGCAATAAGGGTTGAGATACTGCCAGCTCCTCCTAGAACTTGGTCTGGCCAGAATTCTCAAAACAGTTAGTGGTTTCTCAAAACAGTTAGTGGTTTCACAAAAACAGCTCACCTGCTCCAAAACTGGGGTACTCAGCACTTGGGGTAGCCGGTGCCTGGGGCAGGTACCACTGTCAGCCACACTTTAATCGGGTGGTCAGATCTGCTGCTGACAGGCTCCCCATGGTGGTTATGTTTAGCCATGTGGCAGGGGACAGCAGGGGAATGATGCTGGAAATGTGTCAATGTGGCCGCGACAGCGAACTGGGCAGCAAAAAGGAGGGAGAGAGTGGCCCTGGCCCTCACAGGCCTCACTAGGGTCTCTTCTTGGTACAGACCTTCTAGAACCATCAAGCTCATCTTTAACATGGGGCGGCCAGTCCCTCTCCAGGGGCTTCATCAGCATCACACCCTGGAGGGAGTGACAGCAGAGGGCCAGGTGCATTTGTGGTGGCGGGAAACCCAGTGCTGCGGTAAGACAGTCCTAGGTGCTGCCACTCACTTGCCAGGTGACCTTGGGCAGTCACCTCTGCCCTCTGCACCTTAATCTCTATTCCTGTAAGATGGGAGCATGACCGTGTGCACGTCACCGTGGGGTTCAGCTGGCTGAAAGTCCTCAGCCCGTGGTAAACACTTCAGGGATGCAGCGGAAGACACCCCTTTAATAAGAAGCCTGGTGTTGCCTCACGGTGGGCAAAAAGGCAAGTGGACTCCAACCACTGGCCCAGTCCCAGCTCCCAAGAAGGATTCGGAAGGAGCAGCAGCAGAGCCCAGCGTTCGTTCCCCTGACACTGACCTGGAGCATGGAAAGCCTTGGGCCTGTGAAGGATCTCAGGCCCTCTACCCTGGATGGCATCGCCATCCCTTTAGGAAAAGCTGGAAGCAGAACTGCAGGGGCCCCTGGAGGGAGGCCTGGAGGGAGGCCTGCGCCTTGCTCACCCGGAGCCACTGCTCGGCCTGGTCCTTGCTCTGCAGGCCCAGCACAATCACATCGGCGTTCATGGGCATGATCTTCAGCTTGTGCTCCTTCTTCCGCACTTGCTTCTCCTTGTGAATGACGCTGCTGCCCAGCAAGTTCACGTCTAGCTGAGGGCTGTGGTCCTTGGAGGATTTGTAGCACTAGAAGAGAAAAGATGCTCATTGTCAGGGGCACTGGCCTCCCTGGATTCTGCAAAGCAGGGGCCCCTGAATGCTGAAGACCCCCCCAAGAGCCTGATTTTACCCCCAAAACTAGAAGGCTGGACCCCCTAGGGCAGGCCCAGAGCCTCCACTACAAATACCAGCCATCCCATTCCCAGCATCCGACTTCTCCCCAGCCTCAAATAGGGATGCTCCAGGACCTTGCTCATCCAAATGGCTCAAGGCTGCTCTGAGCCGGGGGCAGGGGGTTCCCAAAATACAATCATGCCCCAACTTGAGATGTTTCGGTCAGCAATGGATTGTCGTGATGCGCAGTGGCCCTATCGTGAGATAAATTGCCTAATCATGTGACTGCCTCGGTTTGTGCAGGCACACACTGTGATGCTCACACAGCCATCGCATTGCCGGATGACACGTTTCCCAGACGTGTGCCATCATTAAGCAGCTCATGAGCTTATGTCCCCTGCAGACAACTTAGCTCTCCAAGGTGGAACGGACTTTTCTCACTTCCCTGTATTTGTATTTCTTGCTTGGCTTTCCCAGAAAAGGATCTGTCAGGTGCAAAAAAACTAAGCTTATTTCCTGCCTCACCAGGAAGAGGTGTTAGCCAAGAAAGGAAGGTACCTTCTTCCTCTCCCAGATAAAGGCTTTGGCCTGGGTGAAGGCTTTGCCCTCAATGTAAAATGGGGACCTCATGGGGTTGTTTGACAGGATCACCTCGGTAACAGTTATACAAAGCAGGGTACACTGTGACCAAAGGAGAATAATAATTCCATGTAACTTTAAGTCAGGACCTAAAACTGATTTCTTTCTTTCTTTTTGAGATGAAGTCTATGCTTCCCACGCCGACCTTGAACTTCTGGGCTCAGGGGATCTTCTTGCCCCAGCTTCCCTAGTAGCTGGGACTCCAGACGCACAGCCAACACAGCCAGCTCAGAACTGTGGATTTTAATTCAATGTAACAGGAAACAAGACTGTCATCAGAGTCCTATGTCTGGCTCCTTTATGGGTCTCGACTTAGAATTAGTAGCTCAAGGTGTTATGGTTTCTGAGAAGACAGCTATGACTCTCATGCTGCTCAGACCACAGCAGTAGCTAGAACTGGGGCTGTGGTGGTTGGCCCCAGGAAGCCACTGGGCTCCACTGGCTAAAAGGTGATTAAGGACCAGAAGACAGAACGATGCGTCTTTCAAACACGGGTGCATGGGATGGGAAGGACGGGGGAGGTAGTGATCATCGCAGCCCCCTTGGAGAGCCTGATGAAAACTACTAGATCCGTCTAGTCTAGAGAAAACACATTCTTCCGCACTCTCAAAATCCTGCGTGTGATTTCAGGTTGGGAAGCAGTGACAGTGTCCTGACATCAACAGGCTCTGAGCCCCTGGGAGCACACCAGGGAGCACCTCTCTCCTCCCTGACACCCCCCTCCCCACCCCCCCCCCAAGCAGAGAAGACGGGAACTGACCAGGAGCCTGGTGTCCCTTATCACGCAGAGCTGCTTGGCCCACTGGCCCAGCCACTTCTTGCGCCACAGGAAGGCGCAGATGCGGGCGTCCCGCATCAGCTCGATGCTGGCCTCTGGGGAGGGCCACTGGTAGAGTGCGGCCTTGCCCTTGGTCTCCTCTTCATCGTAGGACTCGTAGGAGCTGCTCACGGCCTCGCCGTCCTCTGCAAGGAAGATGCGCTTGGTCAGGGCCCTGCAGGAAGGTCGTCTCCCTAAACAGGTGACTTTGGGGAGGGCAGCAGGCCTCAGCAGCCCAAGCCCATGACCACCACCCTCCTGCCCCTCATGCCCTCGAAACAGCCCCACAGCCACCAAGCAAGACCATGGCTGACTTTCTGTCCCTAATTCCCTTTGAGAGGCTTCTCACATGCTGCCTTGGGCCACAAAACCCAAATAACCTAAAACCTGGTCTCTGCCTTTCTGTCTTCTCTGGATTCCCCTGAGGTCACACTGCCCCACAGACCAACTGTGTGCTCCTGGAAGCCAGGCGTCCCCTGCAGCCTGTTTTCCAAGGAAGGATGAAGCCACAGGCTCCTCTGGGCCTGGCACTCTGTCATCCTTGGGGTTTGGCAGGAAGAAAAGGCCCCCAGAGCCCTAGCTGTGTGCTTTGTAGGTCTCTATCCTGGACCTGGATCTGTCCCAGGTCAGAGAAAAGGCCACGTAAACCACAGCAGGAAACAGCTTTCTGGGAAGATGGTACTTCCGCCCCGAGTATGCTGTCCTGGTCACAGCCCTTCTCAGCAAACCCATTCCGACCCTCCCGACTCTGTTCCCTCCCTCCCTGCAGAATGTCCCTTTACCTGGTTCCTAACCCAAAGCAGTCCTGAGCCCTCCTCACATTGTGAAAGAATCCCCCATCTCCACGCGGCATGAACCAGGCACAGTTCTATGCACACTCCACCTGCCCCGGATTCTAGTTCCTGCTCCCACTGCTGCCTCTCCAGGCCTCACGGCTGCATTCAAGGCCACCCCAAACCAGGCGAAGAAAATCCACCGACCAATCCATCGCTCGACCCATCAATCCTTGAACAGCAGCACTTGGGGAAAAGGGACCAGGATTCCCGGCCCAACCCTGGGCTCAGCGCAGAACTTGTTTGTCATCACCTTGATGCTCAGCCTGAAGTCCCCACGGACAGGGAACTGGCTCCCTCCTGATCACTGGACACTGTCCCATTCAGAAAGAGGGCCCAAAGTCTAGTTCCTAGTGACTTCCACATAGCAGTCCTTATTCTGCCCCCCCAACTCAGGTGAGTGACACCTCTCTTCTGTCCCATGGCACTCTGATTCAGAAGAGGGAGAGCCCATGGGGCACCTAATTCTTCCCAGAAGACTCCAGCAGCTCTTGTCCTCATAGCTGGGTTCTTGCATACTAAGGTACAGACCATATTGGAGTTAGAATATAGGAAAATGGAACAATGTCACTGCAACAGCTATTCTAGGTGTGGTGCCAATGAAATATATATTTTGTTTTAATATTTCTAAAAACAACACTTTAATGTCTTTTTTAAAAGTAGTGTGGTACTACTCCTCTTTCTGACTTAATAAAAAAAAACCCTGCATACTTTATAATTTGATACCTATTAAATAAGATGGAAAATCAGCACTACCCAGCAAGGGAACCCTGTGCTGGTAGAAACATAAATTCACACAAGTCTCTCGGGCAGCTTGTTTTTTCAAGAGCCATAAAAATACCTATGTTCTTTGATCTAATAATCCCAATCCTCAGAGATTATCCTAGGAAACTAGTTTTTCCAAAAAAGAAGAGGGACTGGAGGTTAGGGTCCCTGGTTGGATCATCCCCAGCAGCATGATAAATAAATAAAGATAAAAAAGAAGAGAGAGGAACATTACCTGAATGAATCTATTTATTCAAGTGCTATTTAACTGTCAGCAAAGGAGCCCCTTTGGATAAGGGGCCTGATTTCATCCACTCAGTGCACCAATGTACCCAGAATCCATCAAATGTCTGAACACTAGTCAGCAACACAGTATAACTCCCCGAGATGTGGCAACGGGGAGAAAGCACAGTTAGAAGTCTCTATGCAAATAGATCAGGACTGAAATGTAGCTCAGAGGACGCAAAACAGTTGATCTGATAGGGAAGTGGGAGCAGGGGGAAAATCTCATTGTCAGTATGACATCATCTGTACAAAAGGTGAAATTTAAAAAATGACACAATGTCGTTGGGATTCTTCCCCCAGAAACAAAAAATTAAGGGAGGGAAGCTCCAGAGGGCAGCGTGAAGGCGGATAAAGCCCCAGTTTGGGCTCCTCAGGTGGCCCTGTGTGTTCTGTGGAGAATTCTGACACCTGCTAGTCCTCCTCCCTGCAGTAAGAGGAAGCTAACTGAGAAGTAACGGCCCGTCGTAGTACCTGCGGCAGCTAGGAGAAAATTTAGGGCAAATGTACTAACAATTGTATTTATCCCTACGAAGGCTCACGGCACACCATAAATGTAGGCTTCTCTTAAAACAGATTCTTGGCTTTCAGGGGGCGCAGGGTGAGCAGGAAGGAAAGGCAGGACGTTCAGGTGATCCCATCAGGACTGCGCCCACTATGTCCTGCGGAAAGTCCTCGGGAACCAAGGGCAGAACAACCATGCAGGCTCCCTTGGAATCACTCATCCATATTTCTGGCAGGGGTCTGTGGAAAGCAGAGCAAACCATGCCCCTGGCAAGACAGCACCTGGCGTGCACATGCAGGACTCATGCATGAGGATGGGAAGAGGACAATGCTGTGCTCGGGACATGCACCATCTCTCCAAGCCAGGCATCAGGCACGGCATCACTGGCATTCTGGGGACAAGCAGTACCCAAGGTGATCGTGGCGTAAATGACTCCTTCAGGCACCTGCACCCATCTGGGGACTCCAGGAGGGAGAGATCTGCAAGAATGGCCTGCATGGTGTCCAGAAGCACAGAGGCAAGGAGAGAGAGACAAGATGAAGAGAGGGACGTACCCAAGTACAGAGACCCACATGTGGCAACATGGCTGCCTGTCCACAGAGGTTAGCACTTGCTCCTCTGAGGGGTTGGCTGGTGCTTTAAGGGAACACTTAGGGTTCTCTGTTCTCTCTGCAGAAGATTCAGTGGCCCAGAGAAAGGATGGCCAAACATGGAAGGAGCCTGGGTTCCTAAACTACATGGAACCAGAAATACCTAGCGAACTGCTCTGTGAGTGAGAAGCAGATTTGGGTCCTGTCACTATAAACGGACACTGTGGAGCTATTTGTTACAGCAGCTGCTATGCCTGTAGCAGGAGACATCATGAATGAAGAACTCAATGTCCTGGGCAAGAAAAGACCCCCTTGTCAAACCATCAGAACACACATGACACATTTGCTTGGAGAGAGGACCCCATCCCAGCAGCACATGTAGGGACACTGCTGATAAAGCAGGACAAGAATCCAAGAGACTGACCCTGTGGCAGGAAGTCAGCAAAATAGTAATTGGCCAAACAACTAGAGGAAGGGGCTGGAGCCCAGTGCTCCTTCCTCCTGCTGCAACCTGCACATCCCGCTGCCCAAGCAGGTGTGGGGACAGCAGGCAGGAAGTGAGGACAGACCGGCTTGTCCTGCAGGAAAGTCCTCCTCTGTAACAAGTGTGGCCACCTCTCCCTAGGTCATCCTCAGACCTTGTCCTGACAGGAGGCCCTCTTCCTGGCCGCCTTACTATGGGTTTCCACAGCTGGGTTTCCTCCACCCCAGGGCTTCCCTGACCCACTCCCCAGGGTGAGCTGAAGCCGTCCTTGTGATAACCTTTAGTCCTGGTTACAAACAACAGGGGGACTCAGGCTGAGACAAATACCAAGAACCAGGTCTTCCCAACCACTTGTTTGTGTCAAAATAAAGCTTCTGCCTCACAAACAGGCCTGGGGCATGTCTGGGAGGCAGGCCCTGACTGGCAGAGGCCACACCCTAGAGAGCCAGGCTTAAGACACACAAAGGTGCTCACTGCAGTGAGTCACCGTCTCTACCTTCACGATGGGCCCCGACAGCAGCCCCGCACCCTCAGCTGCAGTCTGAAATCACAGCAGGGCAGGTGACTTGGCAACGTCACACGCGCTCAGGGGGTGAAGCTAAGAGGGGTCTTACCACAAGGCCAGCCTCTCAGACTATCCTCAGGGTGGACAGGCCCTCGCCTCCCACGGTTCCTGGGACTAGAGGCGGCAGGTACAGTGTGGAGGAAGAGGAGAAGCTGACGTGGCTCCAAGTCTCCTCCTGGGTCTTGCTATTCATGGAACCACACGCCCCCTTCTGCCAAGTTTATTCCCACCAGCAGGGACTATCACTGTGCGCACCTGCACATCACACTGTGCTTTCAAAACCCTTTCACTTACAAAGGAAGGCAAGAGAGAAAGAGAAGAAGGTGCTAAAGTTTGGATGTTGACTCTCCTGCCAAGGTCCACGCTCAAGATGTGGTCCCCAGGGTGGAGCTGTTGGGAGGCACTGAGAACCTTGAGAAGTCAGGGTCCTAGGGCTGTAGGCCTTGGGGGTGTGCTCACAGCGGGGAGGGTGGGATCCCAGCTCCTTCCCCTTTGTTCTATTGCTTCTTGGTCATAAGGTAAGTGGCTTGCACTGCCATTCAGCTGCCCACCAGAGACTCCAAGCAATGGGTCTATCCAGTCTTGGACTGGAACCTCCAAAGCTATGAGCCAAAATAACCCTTTTCTCTTTATAAGTTAGTTATCTCAGCGATTTCACTATAGTAAGGGAAAGCCAAGCTCTGATCTAGCTTCCTCAGGCTGAGAACACTAGCCAGGAATGGATGGTTCCAGCATGGAGCCATCTTGTGTAGCCATTCATACAGGGTGCAGGAGTTAAGTGAGGTCAGTCACTAGGGGACCCCATCCAAAGGCTTGCAGTTTCATTTAAAGTTCCAAAGCCCTCACCATGGCCTGCAGCCCTCCACTCCTCATCTTCCCCTACTTCACCTGTTCTTGCCATGCTGGCCTCTGCCCCAGGGCCTTCGCATATACTGACTCTGTCTAGAAAGTTCTTCCCTCAGGTATCTGCCTGATCCATTTGGCACAACATTTAGGGATCTGCCCAAGGTCATGCCATCAGAGAAAAGCACTCCTCTCCTGCCAAAGTCTAGCCTCGGTTCTGTTTTCCTTCCTGATGCTTGGCTTACCACTACACAATGTATTCTGGGTTTATTTGAATCTATTTTCTTTCCAGTGAAGCTGAGTGCTCTTGTCCTGGTCACACAGTGGGAGTACAACAACTCTGAGTCACAGAAGAACATGGAGGCTGAGCTCAGACTGTGTCTGGCCTCCATTTCCATTGCTTCCCAGGGACGTGCACCCTTTGGCCAACAGCTCCTCCTCCACCCTCTTTCTGGGATGAATGGAGGAGATCCAGGTGGGAGCAGAGTCCATACCAGCACCGTGAGCCTGCTGGCTGCGGGCCATCCTCACTCCTCCCGGCAGGCTGGCTGGGTGGCTGTGGGTCTTGGCACCACACTGAAGACCAAAGGCCAAATGCCCTGACCATTTTCTCTGGGAATGGCAGCCCCTCTGCCTTCCAGCCAGGGATGAGTGAGTTGGTGCCCACCAGGTGAGTGGGCCCGACTCTGGGTTAAAACAGTGAGTCCCCTCCCGCCCCAGCCGCTGGGACCTACCGTTGACAGACGTGTCGTATGGCTCGGCCTCTTCATAGTAACCCTCTGGAGACTCGATCTTGGGGACGGCAGGCTGTTTCCGTTCTGGAATCTGTGGCATGATCAGACAGAACAGACACCTTCAGAAAAGGCACGCTGGGAGCAACCTGGATCCACCCTATGGGGGGAAGGAGGAAGGGGTCCAGAGGGAAGGGAAGCCTGCCCAGAGTTGTACCAGGGAGGAGGGCTGGCATGGAAACCCAGGGATCCCACACAGGGACACAGGCTCTCCAAGCCGCTTCCCTTCTCTGCCAAAGAATCTTCCCAGGGCCATTCTGAGCATTCACCGAGACTCACCACTTCCCCATGGGGCCTGGCCACACTAACTGCAAGGACACAGTGGTCGGCCTTGTGGGGGCCATCCACAACCCAGGGGTCTGTAGGTTGGGCAGAGAGGGCGGTTGATATGACAGGAGCCTAATCCCTGGACTACTGTCCTGCAGCTGAGACAGGTCTCCATGAAGAGGGTCGGCAGAGGCCAGGCAGCTGCACCTCCAAGCTCCTCCTGGCCTCAGACAGCAGAGCTGGGCAAGCCCAGAGGTGGCTCCAAGGTCTCCAGCCCCAGCAGGAGTCACTCCCTCCCTGCGGGTGCACCTCCCCACACAGGAAGCAACAGGATCACCTGGGCACCTCCTAAGCCACCGGGAACTAAGTGGGACTGAGGATGTGGCTGCCGGGCTGCGAACATGCAGCAGGCCACACTGAGAGCTGCGAGCAGAGGGCCTTCAGCTTCCTGTGTTAGTCTCAGGAGAAGTGTCTGCTCCTGAGCTGTCCCCAGCCACCAGCCTGAGAAAGGGCAGCCCCGGGAGGCCCAGGCAGCTTCCCAGAGTCCAAGGGGGGAAGCTTCCCCTGCCCTCAGCAGCCAGAGGGTCTTCTCAGACAGCCCTGGGCTCTGCATGGGGCTGCCCAGAGCTCCCGGTGCAGCCTCTGGAAGCCCCCTTTCAGCAGGTGGTGCGAGCACCCCTAAGGGGGTGTGAGGAGATGGCCTCTATGGAGAGAAGCTCAAGGAACCCAAGATCTGACTCTGGATCAGGATCCCACAGCTAGAAGAGGACAGAGCAGAGAATGATTCCCTCTGCACCAAGCAACATTTCATGAGTCTCCCCAAAGCCTCCGTGAAATATCTAAATGGATCTGTCCAGAGGGGACGTGTAGGACAGTGGTGAGGAATCCGACTTCCTGTGTCAGGCTCAAATCCTGATATTCCAGCTGTGTGACTCTCCACAACCTGGGCTTTAGTGCAAAATGGAGTAGAGATACCTGTGTCACATGGGGTTGTTGTAAGGATAAAACTGGGCTCAGCAGTATTAAGCACTCAATAAATATTAATTTTTATTAACCTAAGAAAATAAAATGTAAGAATAGCAAATGGAGACGTTTTATGTCTATGTATTTGGCAGAGGACAAATCAATGTATTCTGGAAGGATACAAAGGGGACTGTTTGGGCCGGACCCAGCGTATGCCAAGCTCTACCTCACCTTGCTACCGAGGAACAAGTCAGAGCCCCAGGTCCCCAGGCTCCTGAGGCAAAAAAACACTAAGGTCAAGTTAAAAGAGAAAATGATTTTCCGAAGAACTCAGGAGAGAGTCCTCTACACACAGACACATGAAAGACCCGTTATCGGATGTCAAAGGAGCGGGTCCTCATCTCCCCAGGGATCCGAGAAAGGGCTAATATTTGAATCATCATCGACATCTTTATGATGGGGAAGACAGTGAATGTTGAATGAAGATGCAGAAGGGATTTGACTTCAATCCCGGAAATAACTTTCTGACTGTTCAGAGGAAGAGACGGGAAGAAAGTCACCCTGCTCGGGATTTACCAGAGGCCCACAGATTTTTTTCATAAACGGCCAAGTAGCAAATATCTGGGGATTTTGTGGGCCCCTTGGAGTCTCTTATCTCAGATGTCCAACTCTCCAGTTGCAGCACAGAACAGGAACCCACGGACAATGCCTGCTAAAGCAGCACGGCTGTGTTGCAAAAATCTTCACTTCACCAAAGCAGAGGCAGGGAGACTTGGCCACAGGGACAGGGCCAACCCCGACTACAATGAGACAGAGAGTTAAAGAAGAGGGGTGGCCCAGATGACATGAGGCACCCTTGCAGCTCCACCCGGCCTGCTCCGATGTGCATGCCCTGTGAAAAGCTCTTGGTGGGGGGTCCCCCCGGTGCCCACACTGACTGTGGCAATGCCCCTCTATGGGGTCAGCTGCTTCTCCCACAGGGCAGCTCACAAGCACTGGTGCATGTTCAGGCCTCCAGAGGAGGTGGGTGGAGATGACTGTGCTGGCCAGAGGTAAACAGTGGCCAGCAACATCTGCTTCTCCTGCCGTGACCACAGCACCTGGCTGCGCAGCCAGCAGCCCGGGGAGGCCAGAGCTGCCTGAGTCACTGTCCACACCCACGAGGTTGCTCCGGACCTCTGGCTGCCCTTCTGTTGTTGGGAAGGCCCGCTCTCCACCGAGGGGGGTTGGAGTGAGGACCCACACCATTGTGGAGAAAGTCCCAGCTTATGGGTAACAAGTCCTGAGCCTGGGACAGGCCACAATCCTGGCCTGGCCAGTGGCACTGAGGACTCCAGGCAGACATCTGATCTCTTCTGTAGCACCCATGGGTGGCAGTGGTGAGGAGCCCGGCACTCAGGTGGATGAGCCCCGGGGCACCCAGATACTGCAGGGTCAGGTTAGGAAGGAAGGGGCTCCTGAAGAGGGCAGGTCACAGGGTCACTCCAGGCTCAGGCCCTGGGGTGGAGCTGCCACGTCCCTCTGATGAGGCAGCTACGGCTCTGGTTCTCATCCTCTCTCTGGCGGCTCCTCACCCCACTCCTCTGCAGCCCTTGGACTACGACCTACAGCTGCTTTGGCCAGGCTTGACGCAAGAGGCCCGAGGGAGCTCAGGCGCGTGCACACTCGTGTGGGCCAGGAGGGGAGAATCCCAGCTGCATGCTACCCTTCCACACACCACGCCTGGAACCCCTGGGGGTGGCGGTGGGTGCCTAGGACAGAAGGGGGAGGGATCTGGATAAGGGCTGCTGTCCACACGCCTGGCCCATCTGGCACAGGAAGTCCTCAGGGGAGGCTGGGAGACCACTTCTGGCACCAGGTTTCTCCCAGGTGGCTGTAAGCCTCTCTGGTCAAGCAGTCCCCAGACAAAGATGCCACAGGAAGTCTCCTGGAGGGGGCCACCTGCCTCCCTGCCCCTTACCTCATTCACAGCCCTTTATGCCACACAGTTGGTACATGAGACTCCAACAGAGTAGTAAAAACCGTGCCAGCGCCCGGGACTGACACCCTCACCGGGACCGCCACCCTCACCGGGACCAATTGGTTCAAACCTGTATGCTGGTCCCATCTGTAAAACACGTATGTCAACTGGGCGCACGGACACAGGCCTGTTGTCACAGTGACTCAGGAAGCTGAGGTAGGAGGGTCACAAGTTTGAAGCCAGCCTGGGCAATTGAGTGAGACCCTGTCTCAAACAATAAAAAGGGCTGGGATGTAGCCCAGGGGTGGTGCTGGGGATTTCAAACCACAGATTTCTAGAAGGCCTGGCCCTCAGCGCCAGGGAGCCTGCAGGTGAACACCCCCACCCACCAGGTGCGGACCCTGTGGCTCATGGCGTGTGGATGGGGCACTTCCACTTGGCAGATGTCCAAGGTGCCCGGGTCCCCATCAGATGCTGGATTCAGGACAGGAAAGTGTGGCCCTGGCCCCGAGCCACACTCCCTCTCCAGCCTACCACCCAGCGAGAGCGCGAGCCTGGGACACACCAGAAAGCCTTCTATCAGACAGAGAACCACAGCTTCTCTCACTGGTCAAAGCCCTCAGCAAGTGGGTGAGAGAGCAGAAGGGAGGTGCTTCTCCCCAGAGCACGGGGGGCCAGAGGAGGGAAGCCACGCTGACTCTGCCACACAGAAGTGGCAACAAACCAGATTTGAATCCCCCCACCACGGGGCCCGCTAAGCTCCTTCCTTCACATGGAGAACCACGATGAGAACAGCCAGCCCTGGATGGGTGGGGGGATGGTGCCTGTGCTCAGGAAGTGGGTAGAGCTCAGGGTGGGGCAGTCCCTGGTGACGTCAGCACTATGGGGACACCCAAAGACTAAGAGTAGTCCATCAAGGATCACCTAGCCCAAGACAGAGAGTCCCACCAGCCGTCCCCAGCCTGAGGGCCCCCATGCAATGGGGAAGGGTCCCAGGCACTGCAGAAGGGCCCTGTGTCTGTGTGGCAGAGTCACGCTCCAGCTGGAGGAGCCTGCTGCCTCAGCAAAGCATGAGGGCAGGGGGCGTCCAGAGCCATTCTGGGGTTGGGACCCCTTCAATGGTGACATGAGCTTGAAGATCAGCAATGGGTCATTTGGCTGGAGCTCAGAGGGACCATGGATTCAGTTTCCTGCTGAGGTGGGCCTCAAGACCCCCTGCCTCCTGCATAAATCCCCCCAGCTGTGGCCCTCTACCTTCTCTAAGAAACCAGCCCAACCACGCTCCATGGGGCAAATGCCCGGGTTTGAATCCTGATGCTGCTACTGTGAGATGTTAGGCTCCTCACCCACAAAACAAGGACGCTGCCACCCACCTCACTGAACGCCAGAAGAATGCCACACAGCGCTGTGTGGCCTACACCCTCAGCCCAGTGACCACCACCAAGAGGGAGACGCACACCAACGTCACTTAACATCAGGAGACACAGAGCTACAGACCTTAAATAACCTTCCCCGGGTGCAAGGGCTAGTGCCTCGAAGCCCTGGCACCTGAACCCATGTCTTCAGAGTTCTATAATCCAACTCACCCCTCCATCCACCTATCCACTCACCCAGTAAACGACTATGTGTGTGTGTGGCCTACTGTGTGCCCCACTGGACATGAAGTAGTAAGTGGAAGACACAGTTCCTGTCCTGGGGAGGAGGCAAAGAAGAGGAGGATCTTGTCAAGAGTGGCAGGTCCCATGGAGGGGCCAAGGGGTGGTACCAACAGGCAGAGCAGGAGTGGGATGCCCCATGCAGCTCAGCTAGGGGAAGCCTAGGAACATCTGGGAGATAAGGCAGCGACAGTCACAGAAGACCCAGTGGCAGAGGAAGTAGAGTCCCTACAGCAGGTCCCACAGCAGTGGTAGAACCCAGGGGCAGGAGTGAGGCCAGTGGAGAGGGAGCTGGCCGGACGTGCAGGCCCGGAGCAACGTCAAGGAACGTCTTTCTCTAAGTTAATGAGAACCATGGGGAGGTTTCAAGCAGGAAATGAACAGCGGTAAGATTTACAGTTTCAAAAGGTCACAGTGGCCTGAGCTGGACACCACAGCTGTACGTGGACCCTCTCATGTGACTCTGGGGAAAGGGACCAGCATGGTGTTAGACACACGGGGACACTTGATAGAATCTCCCCGTTCCCATCACCTTTAGCATGGGGAATACGGTGGCCCTGGGCCAATGACAAGTCACCTGTGGAGCTTCCTTGGCTCAGTCTCCTTTGCCTCATGCTCTATACATGGAGAATGCTCAGAAAATGCCAGAAACTTGGTACAACACTTCTGAGGACGAGTAGAAATTCCCGGGGCCTGAGTCAGGAAGACGGGAGACCCTGGATGAACACTTACTGTCTTGGGTGGCGGGAGGTCTGGAAGGCTCTTCTGAGGGGCCAAGGTGTGCTGGCCAGGTCCCCCATTGCTCAGCGGGCCCTGCTCCTCAGGCACTGTAGGGAGCAAGAGAGGCGTTGGTGAGGTGTGCCCGGCCCCATGGTTGGGTCTCATTACCCAGGAATGTCTGGTCGCTCCTCCTGCCCGTCACATGCCTTCTATTTGAGCAGGTGATAATTACCCAGGCAGGCTGTCCCTGAAGCCAAAGTTGTTTCACCTCCAAGAATAGGGTGCACCAGTGTCCGGTCATGGGCAGATTCCTCAGAAGGAACCATCTTGGGGTTTCTGGCAGGCTCCGCGGCCCCCACCCACCTACCCCAGGTCAAAAATGGCCCAGCCACAGAGCTGCAGCCACCAGAGCACTGCCTGGCAGGCACTATATGGAGCTGCTCCGAGCACCGACCCTGTGATTATGGCTGTCTCCTCCCACGGTTGACCCCAAAGGTGAATGACCCTGGGCAGAGGGGGAGTGGCATCAGATATGTCTGCAGTCCCCAGCTTGGAGGTAGGGGAAGAAGGAGGGGCTGCCACACAAGGCAGTTATGCCATTACCCCCTGGGCCCTTGCAAAAGAGTTGGAAGGCCGTTCTGGCCAATCCAGCCAGCTCCAGCCAGACAGCTCTCTGACCTTGGAGCTCAGGTGGCTGCCGTCTCCAAGCCTTCCAGGGCTCAGTGCTCTGAAGCCATGTTCCCACCGCTCTCTAAACCTTCCATCTGAGTGGCAGGCTTGGGAGTTGGGAGGCAGAGCTTCTTATGCCTCCTCCTTTGCCACTGGGAAGCTGGGCAAACCTCTGGGCCCCCTGGGGTCCCATAAGTCGGGAGATTGAAAGGGAAATAGCAGTGAGCAGAAGATCTAGAGGACAAGGACCAGATGCCACATGTCCTTCCAGTAAAAGAGAAAATGTTCTGCTCACAAGACCCCTGGGTGCATCTTCTTTGAATATTAAAATAGTTGCTCACAGCCTTTCTCCTCCCTCCTCCTCTATCAAAAGACACAAAGCTGGAATCGTGGGATCAGCACCACACACAGCTGTGCTCCCGGCACATCTGAATTATGACTTCCTGTTCTTGGGATGATGCTAGGAAAAGGAGATTGCAGGGACAGATTCCTTCCTCAATGGGCAAGAAGGTGGCGGCCCGCTGAAACACCAAAAATACATCAACCCAAAATATCACCAACCAAAATGCGTTTTCCAAAAATAACTCCTCCAGGCCTGTCTGCACGCTGGCTGGAAGGAAGGGGGAGCGAGGGAGCTGAGCCTTGTACTCCCCTCCATCTCCTGTGAGCCAGCCATCCCAGCCCAGCCCTGTACCTTTGTCCTGAGACTCAGCAATCTGCCTGTTGACCGTCACTTTGTTCATGTAAATGTACTCCTCATCAGAACCTGCAGGAGGAGAATAAAGACTTTGTGTGACTTCATGTGTGACTTCCAGAGAAAAACAGTACCCCCAAGATGCTTTCCTCTGCTTGGGTTCCAGTAAAAGCACTCAGCACTTTAAGTTGGTTCAGATCCATCATAGAGAGCCCAGAGGTTTCCAAACAAGAAACTGCAAACTGCTGACGGGTAGTTTACTTGCCTGGGGTGGTAGGGGACGAGGGGAAGGGCAGGATAGGAAGGACAGCTTTGGGAATGACAATCGGACGTCGAACACACTCAAAGATCTCTAGGTTTCCTACCATTTCATTTACATTTACATTTTAAATATTTCCTATCATTCTCATCCTAATCTGAATTACTTGTATGAATTTATTAGAGAGATGACTAGATTAGATAGGTCACTCTAAGGACCAGGAAGATTCTTTGTCTCCTAGACCCCTAAGTGGGTGCATTTGGCTCCTAGTGGGTGGGTGGGATGCTGAGAGCCAAGTCATGAGTTCTAAGTGACAGGGTGAGAAGACTGGGAAGGAGAATGGGGAAGCCACCAGCCACCCCATCTACCCCAAAGACTGTGCCACCGGTGCAGTGGCACCACCCATCCCCTCCTTTAGAATGCCTGTGTGCAGGCGTGTCACCTTGCAGTGCCTATGGGGGAGGAGAGCTAGCCTCTGGCCAGCTGCTCAATTTCTAACCCCAGGTATGTTCTTCAGATTCAGTGGAAGGGTTCATCCTAACACCTTTCCTCTTCTAAACCCTCCTGGAGTTCTTTTGAAGCCCTCAATTTGCATTTCCTAGAAACTTGTGGCTGATAAATTCCAGTGGTTTGAGAGTGATCCTGAGCCAAGAGACCCAATTCAAACCCCTGGCGAAGGAGGCAGTTGAGGGTTGGTCTGTTCCCCGGCCACAAACCTTCTAGACTCCAGCCAAAGGCCTACAAAACAGCGTGGAGAACCAGGAGATGCAGGAAGAGGCTGGAAGGGTGGTCAGCCCACAGGACTGACACCTCAGTGCCCAGCCCTGCCAGGACAATTTGGTGGTGTCACCCTGTGTCAAGAATGGCAGGCGTTTATGGGAGGAAGCTGTGAGGTGTAACTGTGCTCTTCCACCAGCTGAGATACAGAGGAGCCAGGGGCACCTTCTGCAGAGCGCAGCTCAGGGGACAAGTGCTCAGCAGCGGGGGCAGGAGGCAGCATTCTCTGCTTTTAACAGCATATTTCTGGGCAATTACACCTATCCCTTACACCTCAATTTCTTTATAGTGTGAAAAACAATCATGATGTTTCTATTTAACTGTGACTTTTTCAAGCATATAAAAGTCAAATATTAGGGGATCTGAAAAAGTAAGCTGGGCTTAGGGCTGACCAATATTACAAATGACAGCCTAAAACATGGCAAATCACACAAAGGCTCAACAACAGGAAAATGGTAAAATAAACCACAGTGCATCAGCCTATAGAATAGCCGGTCACCTTTGAAAAATAAATGAATTAGTGGAGAGTGTGTTAATTGACATAATATTTTTTTAAGAGAGAGAGAGAGAGAGAGAGAGAGAGAGAGAGAATTTTTAATATTTATTTTTCAGTTTTCGGTGGACACAACATCTTTATTTTTATTTTATGTGGTGCTGAAGATCGAACCCAGCGCCCCACACATGCCAGGAGAGCACACTACTGCTTGAGCCATATCCCCAGTCCGACATAATAGTTTTTAAGGTGATTTTGGAGGATATTTTACATGTTCGTATTCTTTTATTTTATTTTTTAGGACACAATACCTTTATTTTATTTATTTATTTTTATGCGGTGCTGAGGATCAAACCAAGGGCCTTGTATGTGCTAGGCAAGCTCTCTACCACTGAGCTACACCCCCAGTCCACATGTTCACATTCTTTGTCCCAGCATTTCCACTGCCAAAAATTTATCCTACAGATGAACTCCAGCACATGAATAAAATTTTGAGGATGCTCACTGCAATATTGTATGAGAAATGTTTTCAGAAAATACGAGTTAAGTGCCCACCAAAATTGGGCTAGTTGAACATTCCATGGACACTCTGCACCTTAAAAAATAACAAGTTTGTTCTAAGTCTGTTATTGGCAAAGACGGTCATGACTCAAGAGCTAAACTATCAAGTTTCAGAGTAGCAAAAAAAAAAAAAAAAAAAAAAAAAAAAGAAAAAGTATGTGGGTCTTTTTGTTTCCTTCCAGGTTTTGTTTGCTGAAAGAAGATGTCCAAAGTTCACTCCTAAGCTACAGTGTTGGGAGCAGGCTCTTCCAGCGGGCTCTGAGTCTCTTTCAATGAAATTCTTCTTCCATTAGTGACACAGTTCTTCACTGTACCTTCAAGGTCCGGTGGCCCAGGCTCCAAACTCCTAAGACTACACTTTCCCCTCAGAAAGGCAAGCTGAATTTTGAAAATGCAGGGCATCTAGGGAGCTCTCAAGTTTCTAAAGTTTGCTTTAAAGCAATTAAGACTTTCAGCTGTGAAGATTTGCAACAATTATAAAGTAGGAGTGA